CCCACGAACGTGACAAGGGCGAGGCCTCGACCGCCGAGAGGCTTAGCATGTATGATTTCGTGGAGTCGGCTTGAAAGAGCTTCTTCTAGCTGTTTCGATGTCTCTTGCGGGTCTATTCCGTGTGCTACTCCTCTGCACGTGTCCCTTGGTGGCGTTTCGTGTCCGACGACCTCAACTGCTTTCTCAGGCGCTTTGATCGACGTTACCTTGAGCAGTAGTGCAACGTGTTTTCGGTCTCGTACCGCTACGGTAATTGTGTTGGCTGCCTTGTTCACGCGGAATGTCGGTAGCTCTATTTTCTGGCATGCGGCCAGGTTTAGGCCTGGTTTCGTTAGAAAGTTTCTTTGTAGAGATGCTGCTGGAATGCTTGCGAGATCGTACGGTTCCTTCGAGTGGAAGACGACATTGAAGCGTTCCTCTAGTTGGTCGCTGTTAAGGTCCATAGCCGCGACAGTAAGAAAATTGGAAAGATTCTTACTTGCCCTTTGTTTCTTCTTTCCATAATGGACTTCTTGCCACGTCTGCTCAGTCATCGTTCGTATCTTCGGGCCCATTGCTCGTTTCGTGGGTGTCCATACTGGTTCCAGCTTGGAGCTCCGACAAGTCAGGCAGGTTTGAGCATGTACTGGTTCCGCTGGGTTTTCTCGACCTCTTGCTAGAGACATTGTCGTCATCTTCATTCAGTGAAGCAACGTCGGTGGCAGCGCGTCGCCGGGTAGGTTTGGCGATAGGGTGTCGTGTAGTAGCCGGATTCATGTACCGGTGCTCAGCAAAAATACTCGCCCCCACGTTAGAGTTGGATTCAGAGAGGGTCTGGGTGATTACAGTTCCCTGCTGGGTTTCGGAGGTTGCGATAGCGGGCTGGGTTGGTACCAAGGCCGTGGGGCTTGGCGACGCCATGCCACGCTAAGCCCAACGTTGGGCTTACCGTTCGGCTGGCCTGCCGTTCTCAGATTTGAAGGTTTCGAAGAAAATTGGATTTCTTCGCAAGAAAACTCACTTGCCGTATTCCCGTGATGTTCCGGAAAGTCAAGGAGCCATTTTCACATCACAAATGACTCCCAGAGTTGGTGCATTGAAGCTTATTCAGCGGAGCTCGAAGAAATACGGCCGCTCGAGCGATTCTCAAAGCTCGAGCCCCCCAGAAGACCGCAACATTGGCGGTCGCCATTTCTTGCTTGCGCCACCTAGCCATTTCTTTTAGGCTAGGTGGCGCAAGGTACTACCGGTTATAAAGGGTACAGCCTTTATTATCCACCCATCCATCCATCCATCCATTGGGCACGAGGCGTGTGTCTAATTCATCCGAGTCTTCGCCGAACGCTGACGGAGCACTCGTATCCAATGAATAGATGCTATAACACCGAGTACGTGCCCAAACAATGGCAGACTCCGATGGCTGGCACAACACCTACTACATGGCACGCACTTTTGAAAAGGTTATAAATGAATAAAGGGCAAACGCCAACCAATCCCTAAAAATCGTAGGGTCCCAACGTTTCGGTGCCGGCTCGGCACCTTCTTCAGGGGGGCTATTTAAAGGGGCACTGACACCCCAAAGGTCGTATTTATTTTTATTGTCTAAAACGATGCAAGTTGCAGTCATAGACACGCAAAAAAAAAAACCGCATCGCGAAAAAAAAAAGTTTCCCGCGCGCGCGCGCGCCTTTTTATTTTTGGCGTTTGATTTTCCCGCCTCTCGCCTCCTCGCTTCTTTTGATCGGTGACGTCAAGAATCATGAAATTTAGAAGCTTTGTAGGCGACATCTCTATAACATTTAATTACGGCAATCATAAAACATGTTTTTTAACGCAATTACGAACGCACTACGGCCCTTCTTTTTGAAATACCAAAAATCGGGAGTTCGTTGTGGTGCCGTCTCCTGGATTTGTATCCTCCAACGGAGAACAGGCGACACCGCTCAAAACCGGTCCGCCGCAACGCCGGGCGCTCGCTCCTTTCCTCCTCGCTTCTTTCTTTTCTTCTGCGGTGAATGTAGCGCAGTATCTTCGGTTTTTTTTTTTTTTTGAAAGGTCTTTGACGCGTCAATCACAGAGTAGTGATACACGACCGCACGCTGGTACGATGCTTATCTAGACTGAAACGGAAATGAGCTACAAGCTCTGCCCGTTTTCCCTAGAAATCCCCCAATCCCCCCGTCCCTCTCTACAAAAAAAAGAAAAGAGAAAAAGTTTGGTTGCGTTATTGTTGAGGAGTGTGCCCAGGATCCCCGAGTTCTGCAGCGCGAGCTCTCGCTCCACTTCCTCCGAGAGCTCTGCGGTGCGCTAACACACACGGCCACCGATTCCCTTCAGACCATGAAGCGGTATTCACACGGGGGAGAGATCTGCCGAGGGACGAGCGTGGCGTCGCCAGCGGACACAATTTTCTCCTCGGCTTCCTCGTTCACACCGCGGCGAGGTCCCCGGGGGGAGGGTTGACAGCGTTTGCAGTTCAATTTGGCGATCTCTGTTCTTTACACCATCGCATGACGAATTTAGCGACCTCTACATTTGACACCTAATCGTTTAATGACAAACTATCGGTAAAAGCAAACTGATCCGCCGCCGAAGCGGGATTGTATGTGCCACTCGAGAATCCCTCCTTCCCTCCCTCCGCCGTGGAGCTGATGTTTTCCTGATGTTTTCGTCGCGTGATGCGCGCCCTCGTGTGAATACCGCAGAGCGTTTGCAGTTTGGTGGCAGACACCCCCCGCGTGGTTTGGTTGCTCATACGTATGTGTAAGTCTCCGCGAGCGAAGATGATAGCGAAAGCAGAGGCTGAGCAACTCTTGGAAACGCATGCAGACCATCAACGCTCCGCCCTCCTTCTCTTTCCTTGAATCGCAAACGCGGCGCGTAAACCACTTGACCCAGATAGAGCGGTTGGAAGAACCTTTTGCCAGAAATGAATTCTGGGAGCTGACTGTAGCAGGCGACGGAAGCAACGCACTACCCACTCTCTCGAACTCTTCTCTCTCTCTCTCCCCTTTTGGATGTCACGTGGCATGCTGCCGGAGCAAGGAGCTATACATACAGGGAGTTCCCATAATTCATTTCGCCCTTCGCACGTTTATACATTGTTGTTTCTCCGAACGCATGAATAACGAACGAACGTCGTAACGTCTCTGCAGACTCCCAAGGGTAAGTTTGGTGATAACCAGCATCGGTTAATGTTTCGTACACCACGTTATCAATATGAGCACGTTATTAAAATTATCCGTTACTGAAATACCAAACAAACAAAGGGTCGGACATTACACATCTTTCAAAAGACGCGTCGTGGTGTCTATTTTTTCAGTAACGTGTAATTTCGTACACCTATTGTCGAAAAAACAAGTCAGACGATCCGTCCGGCGTCACAGATGTATCCTGGGCCCGTTTTCTCGAACGCGAACCGTGGGTAAAGTTAACTATTGTCCCTAGAAGGGGAAATTCTAGGTCACGTCACGTGACTGGAAGAGCTGGGGCGCCGAGGGAGGAGCAGTATACCTACAAGCAAAATGGCCGCGACGTCGCTTATGAGGGCTAATAGTTCTGCTGGACATTCATTTCGATCCGGTTGTTATATTAATGACGCACCATCAACCTATTAGCATGTCAATCAAAGCGGTAGTTCAGAGAGACTACTAAACTAACCGACGGCAGCATTCCGCGAACGCATCACTCTTCAGCAGTCCGGGATCCAAGACATATGACGGTGCATAAGCCTTGCAAGTGTTTTTATAGTGAGTAAAAAAAAATTTTTGGCGAACGAGTGTTGGTATATATTTATACTAAGAGGTTTAATTTGTTACACTATGCACGCCAACTCGTTAGCAGCAATTACTTTGCCGAGAAAGGGGGTTATCCTCAATAAAGTCTTCGTTCCGGGTGAACAGCTGGGACAATGTACTGTTTTTTTGTTCGCAGTGCGCCGACAGTATGCCGACAGCATCGAGGTTTCTACATATCCCCGGTGGCCAGCAATTCAACGGTGACGAGAAGCTTAGCTTCTCGTCACCGGTGGATCGGTTGGGCAAACGGAAAAGGGGGCAAACAGTTGAGATCAGCAGGAATCGCAGAAACGTGCGTCGCAAGGAACAAAAACGAGACTACAGCACCGGCGTTGCCAGATTGGAAGGCACACGGGAAAGTTATGCATTGTTTATGGCGAAATATATTGAAAGAAATGTTTCTTGCATTTTCGAATATTCGTCGACAAACTCTAGCATAGCAGCTAAAATTTCTTCGTAGCATCTGAAGCAAATAAATTGGTCTTCAAGTACAACATTACTATATTTTGACTTTAAATATCATACTAGACCGATAACAACCAGCGGAAATAGAGGATAAACAAAATGACTGGCTTGTTTCACCGATAGATGGTGTATCTTACTGCCCAATCAAAAATAATTATGGTTGTTCTATATCCAGCTGTTTATTAGAGTACCTAGGTACTTTTTCCTTCCTAGGCACCGTGGTTTACCAAAATGGGTTTACCATCGCTTCGAGAAAACCGGCCCTGGTGGAAATGTGCCAAAGGTATAGAGCGTGTTCAAATGACCAAACCGAACAGCGTACTCACGGTACCACACCTCTACTAATTAGGCTGCGAAACGTTATCAAGGCTTCGGAAGGGGCTATTTGCCACTGCTTAACTGCTTGAGCCAGCCCCCCCCCCCCCCCCCCCCCCCCTCCCCTCCCTCCCTCTAACTCCAGGAGGCATCAGGCACACGCGACACTGCTGGAGGAACCCGTTCTTGAGTCAGGGTGGGGCAGTGCGACATATACTCTTCTAGATAGAGCGTACAGTTGCCTGGAAATTAACACGCCACTTCGGATCTGCCACTGAGCGGTATGTTACCAACTGAAAGTGGACCAGCTATAGGTAGGCCTTTTCTGTGGCGGAGATTTGCCTTTCGGTGAGCGGATTCTCTACGACAGAAAGTGGCTTCGTACGCGTTCCGGATATGGCGCCGGTCACGGGTAGATGTTTCGTTAACCCCACTTACTCTCAGGCACTTCGAAGCAGTTCAGTCTCCACCAGAACTCCAACTTCCTGCCGTTCGCCTTCGCCGACGAAGACCGGGTGGTGTCTGTCTGGACTTCGCTCGACTGCCCCGGTGACAGGGCCTTGGTCGTGGTCCCGGGGACCCACAAGGGACCCACGCTGGTACACAGCATAGATGACGTAAGCACCCTTATGCATCCGCGTTGTACGCAACAGGGTGTGTTTTACCATAGCCTTCTCTATACTGACAAAGCATCGCAGATCGTCACGTGACGCGGCCGCCGAAAGTGAAAAGGTAGAGCTGCAGACAAGAGTCATGTAACGGGCGCCCCGCTGCGGCGAGACGCCGAAACACACTTGTTCCGAGCGATATGGTATGTCCGCTCGTGGTTCTCGCGCTCCTCGGGCTACCGCTTCTTTTCTCGTCGGGGGTTTGAAAACCATGTTTCGGGTCCTCGCCGCTGCAAAAGCTGTGCGCTAAATACCAGACTCCCCGAGAAATGCTCTGTGCTACCAGATCCTCGCGCTCCAAATCAGCGATCGGGCACTCAATAGCTCCGTCATCGAGCTGCCAGGCTTGTGAGTGTAGAGGAGGCTATGGTTTTACGGAACGCTGACAAAATCGCTCCGGCGAAAATGTATGCAAAAAGGGAGTGTGGCATCAAATAATCCGCCAGCGAAATGAAACGTTTTGCGGTTCGAATGACCTTGCAAGAATTTATTATTGATTGAGAATGATGCGTCTCGCCTCACATCAGTTGCGTGCTTTGCTCACGGGGAGCAGGACCGCTGGCGTGACGTCACAAACCTGAGTTGATCTATAACGCCTTGGTGACTGTAGGCCTGTTTATCTATAAGGCGTTCATGTGCGCTATTTTGACGTGAAATTTTTAATGCGTTAGCATTGTTAAGCTACTAATCACAGATTTCTGCCTATGTATGTCGCCTCCGTAGTCAATTTTCCGCTAAATTTAGCGGAAAACTGACTTCACGTGACCTGTGCGCAAATTCAGGTTCCCCGCTAAATTTAGCGGAATATTGACCTCACGTGACCTATGCACCACTTCAGGTTCCCCGCTAAATTTGGCGGAAAATTTGCCAATACACTTTCCCCGCTAAATTTAGTGGAAAGTTGACTTCCCGTGACCTATGCACCAATTCAGGTTCCCCGCTACATTTAGCAGGGAACAAACACCTGTCCGTGCCTGCTACAATGAATGCTCTCGCATTAATAGATAACCACCCTTGTGGTTTCTACAAATCTGCCTCCACCATCATTTTTTTTTTATAGATAAATGAGTGAATTGAGTAAAATCGAACTTCTCACAAAAAGGTGGTGCATTCATCATACTCAAACTTTGAGTGTGAATTCCAGAGGAAAAAAAAAACACAATTTTTTTGTTTCTGCCTTTTCCTGTGCACGGTGGGGAAAACGGCCAAACTGTCTGGTTGACTCGGAGATGGCGCAATATAAAGGAGAAACGTGAAAGCTTCTCTGAAATAACCGTCTGAAAGCGGATTCAGCAGATTCGAGCGTGTGTGGTACCATCTACTGTAAATAGTAACATAATAAAAGCCCCCCCCCCCCCCCCCCCGCTTTCTTTTTTTTTTTTTTTTTTTTGCCGCCGTATTAAAAAAAAAAATTACATATATGAAATTTGAGCATGATGCCACCACCTACAGGCACATTTGTGAAATGTTTCAGGTGCACTTCGTTCATTCTTATAATTATACAAGTTTTTTTTTTGTATTTTTTAATAGCGCTTGTTACAATTCAAGAGAAGAAATCTTGGGGCCTGACCCTCTGGTTGACCGCTGCAGGGTGTGATCAGCGACCCGACGGAGCTGGGCGAACCCTTGGCCCTGGATGCTCAGCCCGGGGACGCCGTGTTCCTCCACCCGAGGCTCGTCCACGGCACCGCGCCTAACCGATCGGAACGCTACAGGAAGGTCAGCAGCACGCCCTTGTAGTATATGCGCTGAAAAGCACGCGAGGAAACGCCATCAATCCATGCATTGTCCGCTTGCCGACATCTTTACGCCCTTGGGAAACACGTACTATGTAAGTAAAAATCGCGTCGAGCCGCCGAGCGAAAAACAGTGGAAGTGCACAAGGGCTGTTCATCATGACGGTAACAACCGAGACGGTGGAGGTTAAAATATCGTCTCTCCCCGTTTTTTTTTTTTTTTTTTTCTGTTTTTTCCGCGTTGTTTACGTCGTCTTTCACGCTTCGTTGCTTGTTCAGATTTTTGGCCTGTAATTGTAATTTATTTGAACATGACATTTGGTGTACATGGCAGCGTGCGTGGCTAAGCAGAAAGGTTGCATCCCTTACGCATGTGCGCCTGCTAGCCGGCCGCCACATATATTGTACTGAAAAAAAAAAAATAAAAAAGCAAACAAGAACGACAAGGAAAAAGGACACAAAACAACAGTTCACATGACAACAGTTCAAGGGGATCCCACGCCACTCGACGGGAGAAGAAAACGCAGAGTTCCACAAGGACTCCTCGTGTGAAGTTTATAGAGGGCTTCGTGTGGCTAAGGGAATAGTTGGGAAGCTTCTGACTGGCGCAAAAACCAGAGATTCACTATGGCGGATGGTTCGGCCGCGGAGAGGCTCGGGCCGTCCGGTTTTATTTTTTGTTCACACGCATTGCAGAAGACAGGGAGGTTCTCGGAAGCGACCCGTCGTGCACCCACAAAGCGCGCGTACCCGCGAGGTATACGTCGCCTCTCACCAATGGGTCGTCATTTAAGAGTTCTAGGACGTGTGCCGTACGAGTTGGCAGAGGTGATGGATGACCGACCACAGACTATGCGCGTAGCACGGAGCTGCACACTCTCGAGTCGCTCGCAGTGGTGCTGTTGAGCAGGGGAGCAGATTGTTGAGCAATACTCCATAGTGGGGAGTACTACAAGCACCGTGTAAAGCGTCCTCAGCGCTACCGGTCCGCACGGTTTGGTCACACACCAGCATCCGTCGGGCACTGGAGACGACACCCGAAATATGAGCAAAAAAAGTCCAGATTGCTTGCATATGTGACGCCCAGAACGTTGACGAAATCCAATTCAGCAAGTGTGGAATCGGCCAGTGTGAATGTCGTTCTTTTTTCTCTCGGTGAAACGGACCACGGTGCTTTCCAAAGGACTTGTCTGAAAGCCTTGAGCTTTCGTCCATTCCTTAATTTCAGACAAGTAGCGTTGGAGATTATAGGTGTCAGCAGGGGACGAGACGGGTGCGACGATGGACGTATCGTCGGCGCATTGCACCAGCAAGCACCTCTCGTTGCCAGACACATCATTCACGTACAGCAGAAACAGGGTCGGTCCGACTACCAGGCCCTGGGGGACTCCTGACAAGGCAGTTGAGCGTTAGGAGCACGAACCTCCATACACTAAATGCTGGCTGCGGCCGCGGCGAAATCTTGAGATCCAGACGAGAAGAGGGCCACGAATGCCTGTATGGATGAACTTACTAGTCAAAATCAGAAGCGTGATGTCTCTGCTGTCAAAAAGGCCCTGCAGCAATCTGGACGTTGTTGGCAGTACGTGCGTGGCTAACATGGTGCCATCTGGCCCAGTATTCTGGGGGTTCTTGATTTTCAAGAGTGTTTCTTGTAGTGCCTCAGTGGTGAAGGTCGCCGAAGAGAGTTCGAGCTGGCTATCGTCACTATACTTGCGCCCGTGGTCGGCAGTTGCACAGTCGACGCAGCTGGTGGTCGTCGTACAGCTGGCGCTAAAGGGGGGCTGTGCTGTACTGAACAGGAACCGTTGATGGACGACAAGTGGTCTCATCATCTTACCATCGTATCTTGTTTATCTTTTTTTTTTTTTTTTTGCTAGAGCGACTTTTGTTGTTCCTGATTGTGTATTTCTCTCAATGGACTTCTCATTTCCGTTCCAGGAACTCATCTCCCACTTCGCTCCGGTGAACGTCCAGTACGTGGAGAAGCCATCCGCCTGCCAGGTGACACTACCCTTCTATAAAACAGTCTTAAAAAAAAAAAAATCTTGCGTAAAAACTCTTTTTTGTTTAAAGGGCGATTCACACGCTTGCGTTGAGTCGGACCGAGTGCGAGGGCTGCTTGGCACCACAAGAAAAGAAAAGAAAGTTTTGCGCATTGTTCCTACGCGGCGCGAAGTAGTTCTTGCGAGATTTCCTTGTCGGAGGAAAAAGCGGTGTTTTTTTCGTTTGGAACGTGTACGTCTTGATAAGATAACGCATATCTAATCTACAATTCACCTACATGTATTTTAATTATCAATATAAAGAGTTAAATTAGTAATCCTCCGCGAGGAGCCGGGCGTTTTTTGCTACGGTTCTTGAGGCATATCGGCCGTACACGCTTCTGGCGGCTCCTTGCAGTAGCACATAGAGCTGACGATTTTGTTGACCTCGTACAGATGGCGACACTGAAACTCTGTATAATACAAATTTGGTCAATATCACGTTTTTGACGCATTTATTTTTATTTTGGAACGACAAGATTTGGTAGAAGAATTGCCTTTTATTGAACTGGTAGTTGCACAACTTGCTATTTCTTACAAGTTCCCCCCTCCTTTGACGTCAGACCGCGTAGTTCTCATGGCCGCCGCTCGCGGCTACAGATTGCGAAATATTCTAATTTTTGCCTGCGATTTTGCGGCGGAACCGCAATATTTTAAAGGAAGGAGATGCGTTTTCTGTATTTTGTGACAAGATAGACAAGTACAAAAGTGCAAGTAAGAAGTTTTAGTAGATCGTTCCGATACTTCCGATAACGATACCCGATACTCCGCCGACACCGACGCGTATACATCATATCTTCAATGGCGGATTAAGAGGAGGGGGGGGGGGGGGGGGGGTCCTGATCCATCTGATACCCCCCCCCCCCCCCTTTTTTTTTTCCCAACTTGAATTCCGCATCTGTAAAAATAAGGCGGGGAAAACGTGTTGCCGCTTGGGGGGGGGGGGGGGGGGGGGGGGGGGTCGTGCTCTTCAAACATCTAATAGCTGAATCCCCCCCCCTACCTGGAACCCCTGCATCCGCCCCTGCATATCGTTCTCGGGGGTATCGGAAAGGGCTTTAGTAGCGGCTGGCGTAGAGCGTCGCGGGACAGCGGACGCTGTGCATGCGACCACAGCTCAGTGACTCGGCATCTTCCGCCCGGCTTTTAGCGCTGGAAAGGGCTGTACTCGGGGACAACCTTTCTTTGCATCTCCGAGGAAAGGAGGAGAACGCGCGCACAGCTTTGGTCAATACTCAAATTTGGGAGAGGGCAACGTGACCGTTCCTTTGACTGCAATGCCAAAAAAATTTGACGAACGCTCGCCGATACTTCCACGTGCTCCGAGCTCTGATGTACAAACAGATAGTTCATAAGTTGCTAATACTGCAGACATAACACCGTAAGCACGGAGCTCTTTCAACTCGATCCGATGCATGAGTATGTTTCCTCTAACTTTCGTGTTCTTCATTTTCAGGAATACTGGAAGGAAAACGCTTACGTGGTGAGAAATGCTGGTGGCCGTCTGTAGGCTTTCGCTGACTTTTGTATGCTCCGGACGACTGCAAAATCTCTACGACGCTGGATGCTGAGAACATACACTTCCCAATAAAAAAAGTATATATGCAAGCTCTCGATCGCCTGTTCGTGAATCTTGCGTCCAATAAACGTTTACAGCTGACGTTGTTTGAATGTCACGCGTGTAAAGTTGCGACGTTCCAATGTGATACAAGGGCGTCTAAATTTCTTCAAGATACCAAATTCTTACAATAAGATAAAGAAGGTTAATTTCTCGATGTACCAAATTCAACTACCGTAACGTAACGAGCAAACGCCCACCCAATATTTGGAGATAACTTAGGTCCAAGAGCGAAAATGCAGATGGGGCCCATGAGAGGGTGGACTTCGCCGCTTTGCACCGGTGTACATGGGAGAAGCGGCCGGCAAGGAGGAGCATCAACATCCCTAAGCTGAGACTGCCGTTAAAGTACTGCTCTTGCCGGACAAATCAACCGCTTCCGTTTCATCACCTGACCCAGCTCTACACGAGAGGATATGGGCGAGAGAGTGATCACGTGGCGAAGAGTCGATTCTCAGCTTAAGTGTGCATTAGATTTGTCCTTGGCTTAGTTCTCAGCCATTTCGAAAGTAGCGGGTGGCTGCTTACAGTGACATGGAAATACAGGATATCGGCATTTTACGTCACTACCACAAGGATTCCATTGAACAATCTTATTCCAAAACTCGGAAGTGCCCCATCGAGGCGTAATGCTACATTTTGCATTGTGAAAATTGGTGGAAAGCAAAATCGCTCCGCTCCTGGCCCACGGGTTCCATTGAATGCAACGCGCGCAGTAACGGATTTATGAAAGTAGCCCATCGAATCACTTCGTGGTGTAAAGTTTCTCCCTGGCGTCCTCGGTGACGTCAAAGTGATATTAGTTCAACCAGAGGGAGGAGTCGAGTCCTCAGCCATTTAAATTCACACTGCCCCATTTTCTTGCTTGAAGTTCCGTTACGAAAGATTACGTTGAAGTCCCCGGGATCTGTGTGCTACATATTAAGCATGACACGCGACATTCGAGACACGAATGTTTCGGTGACTTATACGTAACTTAACGTAAGAAAATGGGACAAAACAAAAAAAAAAAGAAAAAGAGTATTTCGCTACACTATTGTATTATTTGCTGTACGTTCAGAGCTGCTAGATTGGTTGGGATGGCTCTGTGTTCGCAAGAATATACCTTTTCCTAAATTACCCAAGCATCGAGGAGCAAGCTGCGAGTGTACCATTTAGAGCAGTTTCGCGATGATATACGGCAGGCTAATGGAATGTTAGAGCACATGACTGATAAAGCACAGAATTGTAAAGTGAGATCGACCCAAAATAAGTGCACGTAAAACCGGATTTTAGCCTCCTGAGGCAGTATCTCGTGCGGATACTGCAATGAAAAATGAAGTTTAGAAAAATGAAGACTGTTTAGAAAAAAGAAGGAAAGTGTGTAGTTTAAAAAGTTATATGCTGTGGCCAATTGACGAAGATTAATTCTAAACTGTACATTTTGCCTCCAACATCACGCTCCAAAAGGTCTATACTAAAGCGATTTCACCCTACCAGTGCAGAAATGATGTCCTTAAAGGCATACTCTTCCTTTTGCCGAATTATTATTGAGTGGAACGCTCTGCCAGAGCAAGTTGTTGTCAATTGTTGTAATCTTGAATTATTGGAAGCACAGCTGAATGAATTGTTTGGTTAAGTTCTGCTTGTGGAGATGCATATCCTGAGTACGCGGGGGTATAGCTACAACCTACCTGCGCTCGCTTCAAGCGGTGAGTACATGATTGAACTTCTTGTCTTGTGTGTGTTATATTTTTTCCCTCCTGTGTAGACCAAAAGTTTCACAGCATTCTAAATAATTAAAATAAATAAATAAAAAAATGTGTCTGTGGGTTGGAAAAAAAAAAAAAAAAAAAAAACATAATACACAGGGGCGCGTGGCAGAACTTTGCGATTACGCACGCAAACCGTCAGAAAGTGTCCAATTAAGTCAAGTACAACACGAAATACTACTCTGTTTAATTTAACAAAACAAAAACAGCAATTAGCAAGGGAGATGCTTAGCTTATTTGCAAATTGAATTGACCGGCATCTTTTCAAGAACAAACATCAACATCCGGGCTATGCCAGTTCATCCTGCATAAACTCGGTAAGCACTATTTTAGGCCAGAGTCGATCTGAGTACGAAGGTGCTTATAAATTAGAGTGAACAATTTCGATCACTCCTTTCTGCATGATTCGTCGCCTGCGTCACTGTGCTGAGTGTAGACAATGTTGGTTAGAAAAATAAGCATAGTGATTGCCGCTCAGGTAGACTGAAAGGGCTTGTTTTAAAACTTTCGTGACGTCTTGAAAATGTTATTGCTTGCACTCAGTTGTGTCGTCATCGTGTTCATATTGTGAAACGTATTTCGTAAACCATAGTTGGTGATATACATGGCGACGAGGTGCCTATTTCATGACCTTATGCACTGTAGTTAATTCCATAGTTCAAGGGCACAAGCACAATTTAACTTGTATTGCTGCGGCGCAAAGTTGTGCCAATCACAGGTATTTCAGTCGACCTACCTCACTTCGCGAAAACATTATGATTCAGGTAAAATATATGGGACTCTGGTCAACAAAAAGTTGTTTAGTCGTGTCAACACGACGTTTTGTATGTTAACGTTGATTTTTATTGCTGTGGTGTTGAAATAACGGAATTTCATATTTTTGGTACCTGAAAATAAAAGTGAATTGTACAAACGATAGAAAACCACTATATAGTTAATCGTTTCACGGCGCAAATAGTGCTTGACAGAACAGCGAGGAAAATATATTCTCAATTTACCGGTTGGAATCGGTTGGAACCGTTATTTTTACTCCCCGTGAACCCGAACCCGAATCGAACCGATAAAAATTTCGGTTTGACACCCTGGTGGCACAGCTCAGAAGTATCAATACGCCCTGTGTGAGGAGGAGGTGGTGTACCGCACTCCGCAGACATACGGCCGAAGTTACATTGGACAAACCGGGCGATGCATCAAAGATCGGACGAGAAAGCACGCTACATCAGTAAAAAAAAAAAAAAAAAAACTCAGCAGGGGGACATTTAATCAACACATTGTCGTGCGTGTCAATGTTCAGCACGGTTCTATGACGTGAACATCGTGGCAAGGAACAGAACAAAACTAGCAGGTGAAATTCTGGAGGCCCTTGCCATTCAGGAAAAGGGCGAGGCCTGCGTTAGCGCACCTTCTCTGGTGCTGCACGAGAAAGCAAATATGTACCTTCGGTGGTTAAATATTCGGTGAAGTAGGAAGGAAAAAGAAGAAAAAAGTATATTTCCCTCCTGTGGGGTTCGTAGTAGAAGAGGATGAAAAAGAAGACTAGTTGTTAGTCCAGCGGTGTGTATGGCCCTTTCTTTGTGTGTGCTTTTATTCTAGCTCAGCTGGCCTTATCTGAAGTACCATGTGAGTATTGACCCATTGAACCAGCTCGCCTGCACACTTGCTTTTTATCAGTCTAATCATACGGTTTGAATTTCGCGCCACCAATTACGATTTGACGCTCGTCAGTTGTAGTAAAAAAACAGCTCGAACTGCATGAACTTCATTTCGATTCGTTTAATCAACGCCTGAATCATTTCTTTTCTTAGACGTTTTGTTATTTCTTGAAGAAAGTTTTAACCATAGGTTTTAAGGGTTTCAACGTTTCAACTCCCCAATGCAGAGAGGGCGCCACTGGCACTGCAAGGGCACTCAAGATGGCGTCGCCCATGTCCCTCAAAATTTTCCAGCTCGCTAAAGTCGGCGTGTTAAATCCTTGCAATAGCCTGCCAGCCGTCGCACAAAGATTCATGTGCACTCCGGGAACTGGAGGAAAGACGAACAAACCTAAAGCTCCGCCCAGCGCCCCGAAGCAGCCGCCGAAAAGCGTGAACGTCGGAGGCAGCGCTCCCAGTGCGGTGGCGAACACGGCCGCCACGGAATCCTACAAGGTTACGGAGTACTTCGAGCACAACCCGTACAGCTTTTACGACTTCAACATTGAAATGGATAAGATGAGGTTACCGCAGCCCTCCAGCCAAAAGTAGGCAGTTCTGTTCAGGTGAGTTGTCCGCCGTTTCACGATGGTCCTCAGCGGACGCTACTAAAGTCACAGGATGCTGAGCTTTGGAAAAAGTAGCGCCATTGCCTTCCAAGCAGGACACAGATGTTATACTTCGTTTCGCCTTACAATCAGGAGTTTCTCCAGGAGTCTCGGAGAAGCGTAGGCACGAGCAGGCATTTTTTTTTTTTCTACGTGGGCATCCTAGCTGCCATCTCATCTCCCCTCCCCTACCCCCCCCCCCCCCCCCCCCCCCCAACCCCCCCGTAGTATAATGTAGTATACCATACAGACGACCAAAACCTCTCAAGGTGATCATTATTTCGGTCCTATCAAATCTTCGAAGCTTGTCAAGGGTCATTCTGAACCAAATGCTCCAAGATCTCTATGGAGTTTGGCCTTACTGAAAGCATTCCTTTCCAGTATAAGCGTCTTTATCGCGCTCAGTATGCATTCGTGATCAGTCATACTGATCTCCACAGATATCGTCTAATGATATTGTCCTTCTTGCGCATTTCAAGACAGGATCATTCTTTTTCAATGCTGCCAAGCACAGACGCTGCGTGTGGTGGCCGTTTGATGTGCCCTTCTCTTGCCGGTGCGTGGATAACAAAACCTGAGTACACACGTAATGTGTTCATGAAGCAACCTATCGCCACAAATTTACATCAATTCACCAATAATGGAGAGGTCGAGAAACTGCTCATTTCACATACCAAGATGGTGACCATGCCGGGGCGCTTGGTGGTACTTTCCCAGGATCTAGGGACTTTAGACGCCACTTGCAGTCCCAGCCGATTATTTGCGTCTCTGCTGTCCTCCTTAATTGAATTGGCTCCCATGGCTCCTAGCGTCCTCTCTGGTTTATTGCTCTCAGTGGAGCTCAGTATGCATTCGTGATGAGTCATACTGATCTCCACAGATATCGTCTAATGATATTGTCCTTCTTGCGCATTTCAAGACAGGATCATTCTTTTTCAATGCTGCCAAGCACAGACGCTGCGTGTGGTGGCCGTTTGATGTGCCCTTCTCTTGCCGGTGCGTGGATAACAAAACCTGAGTACACACGTAATGTGTTCATGAAGCAACCTATCGCCACAAATTTACATCAATTCACCAATAATGGAGAGGTCGAGAAACTGCTCATTTCACATACCAAGATGGTGACCATGCCGGGGCGCTTGGTGGTACTTTCCCAGGATCTAGGGACTTTAGACGCCACTTGCAGTCCCAGCCGATTATTTGCGTCTCTGCTGTCCTCCTTAATTGAATTGGCTCCCATGGCTCCTAGCGTCCTCTCTGGTTTATTGCTCTCAGTGGAGCTCAGTATGCATTCGTGATGAGTCATACTGATCTCCACAGATATCGTCTAATGATATTGTCCTTCTTGCGCATTTCAAGACAGGATCATTCTTTTTCAATGCTGCCAAGCACAGACGCTGCGTGTGGTGGCCGTTTGATGTGCCCTTCTCTTGCCGGTGCGTGGATAACAAAACCTGAGTACACACGTAATGTGTTCATGAAGCAACCTATCGCCACAAATTTACATCAATTCACCAATAATGGAGAGGTCGAGAAACTGCTCATTTCACATACCAAGATGGTGACCATGCCGGGGCGCTTGGTGGTACTTTCCCAGGATCTAGGGACTTTAGACGCCACTTGCAGTCCCAGCCGATTATTTGCGTCTCTGCTGTCCTCCTTAATTGAATTGGCTCCCATGGCTCCTAGCGTCCTCTCTGGTTTATTGCTCTCAGTGGAGCTCAGTATGCATTCGTGATGAGTCATACTGATCTCCACAGATATCGTCTAATGATATTGTCCTTCTTGCGCATTTCAAGACAGGATCATTCTTTTTCAATGCTGCCAAGCACCGACACTGCGTGTGGTGGCCGTTTGATGTGCCCTTCTCTTGCCGGTGCGTGGATAACAAAACCTGAGTACACACGTAATGTGTTCATGAAGCAACCTATCGCCACAAATTTACATCAATTCACCAATAATGGAGGTCGAGAAACTGCTCATTTCACATACCAAGATGGTGACCATGCCGGGGCGCTTGGTGGTACTTTCCCAGGATCTAGGGACTTCAGACGCCACTTGCAGTCCCAGCCGATTATTTGCGTCTCTGCTGTCCTCCTTAATTGAATTGGCTCCCATGGCTCCTAGCGTCCTCTCTGGTTTATTGCTCTCAGTGGAGCTCAGTATGCATTCGTGATGAGTCATACTGATCTCCACAGATATCGTCTAATGATATTGTCCTTCTTGCGCATTTCAAGACAGGATCATTCTTTTTCAATGCTGCCAAGCACCGACACTGCGTGTGGTGGCCGTTTGATGTGCCCTTCTCTTGCCGGTGCGTGGATAACAAAACCTGAGTACACACGTAATGTGTTCATGAAGCAACCTATCGCCACAAATTTACATCAATTCACCAATAATGGAGAGGTCGAGAAACTGCTCATTTCACATACCAAGATGGCAACCATGCCGGGGCGCTTGGTGGTACTTTCCCAGGATCTAGGGACTTCAGACGCCACTTGCAGTCCCAGCCGATTATTTGCGTCTCTGCTGTCCTCCTTAATTGAATTGGCTCCCATGGCTCCTAGCGTCCTCTCTGGTTTATTGCTCTCAGTGGAGCTTTGTCCAGATGGAACCATAGCAAAGGTCAATTCGAGGAGTGTAGTTCAAGGTTTCCATTCTAGCTCTTGTATACTTTTGTTGTTATATCCGCAGGGATGCCGTAAGTACATCGAGAGAAGGGAGGCCCAAGCCAAGTTCCGGTTTGTTCTTCTTTTTTTTTTTGTTTATGTAGTTTTTTCTTTGTGCTAAACAAAACTTTGATATGACAATCCGAGTTTTGTTTTAGAGAGGACGCTATCCTAGCGGGTTAGTTTTTGTTCCTTTCACTACAATGTGTGCAGCGATTTCTATTTTATATTTTATCACAAAGTCATCACGACGCACGTGAGGACTTCGTGACGAGTGTGTGGTGTCACCCCCCCCCCCCCCTCCCCCTCCCTCCCAAGTACTATTATAGGGGGGCTGAGGTGCCACTGAGTCCCCCCCTCAGAATACTTAAAGGGATGCTGAACCGAAATCTGGATTCCCCAAAACATGCGGCAAAAGCGTGCAACGGGAAGCTACAAACACCAAAACATCACTCATACAGCGGTACCTTGAACGGATAACTGTATTTTTCAAAAAAAGAGGCGCATTTGGCAGGAATGTTGATGTCGTGTTTTTCTGAGAAGGAGAGGGAATGGCTGGCCTTGCGTCTTCTCCGCCTCGCGGCCTTGAGGGAGCGAAGCGAAGAGAGGAGGAAACTAGGTATCTTGACGTCATGCGCCTCGTCGGCCTGGTTCAATCTCGACTTCATTTTCCGAAAATACGGCCGCCCATTTGAGATATCACCTTACTAGTAGTTTTGTAAGGATTGTAGCGTCCCGCCTACATCTCCAGCATTGTTTTTTTTTTAATCCAACTTTCGGTTCACCATCCCTTTAAGAAAAGGGGGGGTCAAGACCCCCCCTGCCCCCCACCTTTTAGCATCCCTGTATATCTGGCATGTCCTTAACCTGCCACAGCCTTACGTCAATTTTGAGATCAAAGCGAAAAATTGTTAATTCTTTTATTTAAAAATGGGTCCAATAAAATGATTATCGGGCTTTATGCCATGAATGCAATGAGCAGATTCAATGGAGATTATAGCTCCCCCTCTGTGTTCACTCTTAGAATGTCCTCAAAAGGGCGATTTTAAGATGTAATAAAAAAATTTCTCTCATTTCAGGTGCATTAAGGAAGACGAGTTTAGCAGGTCGCCAGAAGAAAGCGAGTTGACAGCACATAATAAAAAAAAGGAAATTAGCTTTGTTGCTCTCATATTGCAGTCATTGTTTGCACATGATTTCATGTTAAAAGCTTTAATCAATAAATGTGACGTGTAAAAGGTCCTGTACAAAATTAGAATGAAATATAAAACTAAACCTGAAGTTGTTTTGTAATGAGTACAAGCCGAGTCCACTGCTAGATGCACATGCTGCCTGCAACTCTAAGAAAACTGCCAGTACAATGTATGTGGTTTCCAAGTTGACAGCAATTATTTCTTAGAGAAGCCATATTTCATGTGGCATATATTCGATGTGCCTAAAGAATGTCCCCAATCATGTGACAAATCAATTATTTTACAAATGGAAATGCGACTTCAAGCATTGCCACGGGTTTGCCAACTATCATCCACCAAAATTGCGAAGGTTCCTTAGTTGTTTTCGCAAACAGATCCTTTCTTTTCAAAGTTCTTCAGAGGTTGACTCGTTTGCCACGGACGTGGCGCGCACGTAGCTTCCAGATGTCCTGAAACGGGAAACATACTATCAGTGCAAATTCCTTCAAAAAGATGGCACATGAAACTATTTCGACAAAGCAGAGGTGGCAAGTGTTCCAATAGCATGAGCTTGAAGCTTATGCTGCATTTGCAAGCCTGTTATAGCCGCATCCCACCAGAGCGACAGACAACAACAACAGAGGATGATGCATAATGACAACGACAAATGGAATGTTTGTCGGAGTCAGCCGCCCCACCTAGCGGACGCGACGCAGAACACAGGGACAAGAAAAACTTGTTTCCTGGTGTGACTGGAGTCGTCAACAGAACACTTCAAAATACACAAACAAGCATAGTCGGGCGACGCGTTTTTCATGTTTTGCTCTTTGGGTGGAAAATACGCCGACAAACACGGTGAAAGAGAGACAATTACAGTAGACTCTCATTAATTCAAACTCCAGGAAGTCAGATTTTAGTTTGAATTATCAGAAATTCATCTAAATATGATACTAGACAACATTATGATTTGTTACATGGATAGCTACACATAGCAGATTTTCGCCAGTTTCCTCTACATAGGCCTAATTATAAGCAAGTAGAGGCATAACACATTGGTGAAAGAACTGTGACGTTAAAGGGGCACTGACACCCCAAAGGTTGTATTTACTTTTATTGTCTAAAACGATGCAAGTTGCAGTCATAAACACGCAAAAAAAACCGCATCGCGAAAAAAAATTTTCCTGCGCGCGCGCGCGCCTTTTTATTTTTGGCGTTTGATTTTCCCGCCTCTCGCCTCCTCGCTTCTTTTGATCGGTGACGTCAAGAATCATGAAATTTAGAAGCTTTGTAGGCGACATCTCTATAACATTTAATTACGGCAATCCTAAAACATGTTTTTTAACGCAATTGCGAACGCACTACGGCCCTTCTTTTTGAAATACCAAAAATCGGGAGTTCGTTGTGGTGCCGTCTCCTGGATTTGTATCCTCCAACGGAAAACAGGCGACACCGCTCAAAACCGGTCCGCCGGAACGCCGCCGCTCGCTCCTTTCCCCCTCGCTTTGGGTCGCCATGGCAACAGCAGGGAGTGGTGAAAGAAAGGGGACTCTCAGGTCTCCGCAATTTTTGACGTCAAGGCACCGGCGCCGATCGCGCGGGAACTTCGAATTCGGCATTTGGAAATTGTTTTTTTACTTCACAAATACTGAATTCCCAAGTTTCAAATTTTGAGGGTAATGTCCCGGCATCGTTTTCAATAGTTTCGGATAATAAAAAAAAATATGATTTTGATGTGTCAGTGCCCCTTTAAGTTTGTTCAATCGGCAAAAAAGTTGTCAATTTTGGACTGTTCAGTCAGCACATGAGATCTCAAAACAAAATTTTCAATACCAGTCAACGCAAGTAGCTCTTAACGGGACTCTTCCTTTGCAGACAGAAACTTCCGGAGCTGAGCGACGTGCTCAAAGGCCTCTGCGGCTATGACAGTTGGTAGTGGGTCATCTCTTTCTTCATCGTCATCTTCGCTCTCACTGCTGCACTGTGCTGGCATTACTTCCTGTACTATGTCCTCTAATGAGTCATCACGACAAACACGCATCGTCGTCAAGACTAGCATATTCCGCCAGCCCGGCGTTCACATTATGTGCTTCAAGGCCAGAAAGCATGATGCCAGTGAGCTGCTCCTCATCCTCGATGTCGTCTTGGTCATCATTGCTAGTCTTGAAGCACATAATGTGAACGCCGTTTTCTGCTAATGTGTGCCCGCTTGAGCCCCGTTGAGTGCGCTTCTTTCCGAGCACCGGTGCACCGTGGAGAAGCAACACTCGGCGAAAGCAAGCTCTGCGGGTATTGCTTCTCTGCGGTGCACCGCTGCTCGGAAAGAAGCGCACTCAACGGGAACAAAAAAGTATGAATTAAGCGAAAACGCCGTTCAAATTAAGCGGCATATAAATGCATTAAAAACATAGCGGGACACCCAAAAATTTCAAATAATTTTATTTAACCAGAAATACGAAATACTAGAGTTTGAATTATCGCGAGCCTACTGTACTTTCTTAATTAAAGCTTCTGCTTTGTCTTGATTTGCCGTTGGCAACTTTCCACAAATCGTGACTATCGACACCAAACTTTATTCAAACTAGTATTCCCGAATCGTTCCTTGTTCGAGGTGAGCGCCACGAAATTTCATGCCAATTTCGAGGATGTTTGTATCCAAATGATTGAGGACCGGCGTTTTTTGGGGGGATATACGGCATCCCAACTACCACAGAGCGTGATGACGTCTCTTGCCTGCCAGAACGTCATGTCCTACTTCAAGGTAAACGGTCTTTACTTTGGTCAGTCTTCAAACGTCGGCGTATCCATCCCGATGCAGGGACAAAAACCTCAGCGTCTCGAAGCACCAGATCGCGCACCAGGTTTTCGCGCGCAAAACGAGCCACAGCTAATTCCCTTCCGCAACACGATGTGCCAGCGAGCGAGCAACGAGCATTACGAGCTGTCGAGGGACTGGAACGAGTAGGATGCCTAGTTGGCCACCACGGGAGGAAGGTTGGGAAAGGAGGCAGCAGAGGGTAGAGGCAGGCGAGGAGGATAAGTTTGTCTTTGAGAGATGTTCTTCGGTGGGACTGCTCGCGGTGCTTCAGGCTAGATATCAAACAAAAACTTGTCCGTCTTCGATTGTTTGGCAGCACATGGCAGCGGCTGCTGGGGATGTTTGTCGCTACAGTGGGAGGAGGCTATTACAGTTTTTTTTTTTTTTTTTTCATTGTAATACAAGAGCACTCGTGGCATCTAAGCGCCTTGGGGAAACCGTTGCCCAATAAGTAGTCGTGCCACATTATAAAAAAATGACGATCACGTGCATTGTTGTAAAAAGACATCAAATGCATGACAAATGTCAATCACTGCATCCCCCCCAGGCTGTTCCTCTAAAACGTTGCACAGTTACTGGTTGGCCAACTATTTCTCGTACAGTTTGGCAAGTACCATACTACGTCGGTCAATCAACTGGCAAAGTCGCTTAATTACGCAAAGAGGGCTTTCAAACACGTCACTCGTTGATTGAAAACATGTTTTAAATCCTGGAAGAATCAGTATGGTCACAACTGGCTCATGAGCCACGTGACAGAAGACCAGCCGCACGACGAAGAATAGGAAAGTTCTCGATGGATGGTGTTGTGTGTGTGTGATAGGGAATTCTCTTGATAGATTTGGAGCGATCCAAAAGCGCTCCATGCCATGCCTTTAGTGCAGTAAATGCGAGCGTCCGTTGGCACGCGCGAGAAGATACCACTAATAAGTGCTCCAAGACCGCTCCAAATGCACTAAGAGAACTCGCCATGAGACAACTTTCCATATAGTAAAAAAAAAGCAGGCTAAACTATTGGTATTGTCCTGTACTGGGCGATACCGATCAAGGAAGAGGCTGCCGCAGATGGGTCACTTTCAAAGGTAACTGTGAGTACACAATGGTAAGGAAGCCTAGTGCACCATGCAGATAGCATCTATACTGCAAGTTTTGTTACGAGAAAGCCTTGTTTTGAGAGATGAAATCTCTTACTTCGTATTTGTTCATAGGAACGCTGGGGAAGCGTTTGTGGAAGACCTCCAGCACTTCGGCCGCAATGGGTTCTTGGACGGTCCCGCCAATGTCCACGTACTGGCACTCCGAAGCCGCATAGTGGCACGAGATGGCCTGAAAAAATAAAAGGATGGCGCTGAAGACGTCAACTAGGCTTCTATTCGACATCCAAATCTCTCGCTATCTACTATAAAGAAAAAACAAGACCCCAGAACTTTTTTGGTACTTTGGCCATCTAGGGTTTGGGATATGCGGGGTGTTGCTTTCTGAGAAAAACCAGAATTAAAAAAAAAAAAGAAGCTTGTGTGAGGATGTTTTTTTTTTTTAGCACTGGTGCAAAGTTGGGAGCCCTGTGGGCCACTAGAGGAGGGGTGAAATTGGTCAATCAGACAGTTAATTAACTAAAACATTTTCTGAGTTTTCAGTCTAGGGGGGCATAACATGGGCGGAGATCCTTGTAATCCAGCCGCGACGTGACATTTTTTTATGAAAGAAAAGCTTGTTGTGGGTGCTATGGGACGACGAATGTCATCTTTGTACACGGCTTCAAATCGTAACTAACCCACCAATCCCTACACTCTGCGCCGCACGTAACGTTGGCAGTGCAACGCGAGCGCTGAGCGGAGGGATCGACGTCACGGGCGTGCTTCGGTGGGATAATTTAAATTTTAATCCATGTAAACGAAACAAAATTCGGCTGTCTCTAAGATTTTCTAAAGGCGTTCTAAATGCATTGCTACTGTAGGACTTTTTGCACTCCTCCTTTTGTGGGCACAGTGAGGAGACCACTCAAGGCCCTATTCAAGGGTCCGTGAATATACAGTAGACACATTAATTCAAACTCCAGGAGGCCACAAATTTTGTTTGAATTAACAGAAATTGATTTAAACGTGATGCAAGATAAAACTATAATTTGCCATATGAATGACTACACATACAAAGCAGATATTCAATGATTTCCTCTAACGGGCCTACTGTAAGCAGGTATGCCGCACATGAAACATTTGTGAAATGTATAACATAACTTCATTTATCCTTCAAAAATGTTTATCGTGTGCTGTTTAGACAGCGCATGACAACTCAAAACAAAATTGGGCCTAGAAGGTGTCTAAAGTGATCTATTAAGCAGGCGACACGTGAGCGGTAAAAACAGGCACCGCGTGGCAGTTTCTATAGCAACTTCCACGGACGCTGTGACGTGGACTTGTTCCATGCCGCCATACCACAACGTCGGCGCAAGCTGATATGGAAATTTCCACGTGGTGCCCGTTTTCATAGCTCACTTGTGCCCTGCTTGAGCCCCGTTGAGTGCGCTTCTCCCCATGCACCGGCGCACCGCAGAGAAGCAACAGCCGCGGAACCCAGAGCCGTGTATAGAGAGTTTGGCCCTTCATTGGGAAGTATAGGAGGCAAATGAGGAGGCACCATTGGCCGAAAGCGGGCTGGGCATGTTCCAGGGCGTCTTCACAAGTGAAGCCAAGCCAAGCCGCTCTTGTAATGGCTGCAATTGCGTGGTTGCGGAAGTGATCAACCTTGAAAGCGAACGGCGCGCACGCCTAGCGAAGCTGGGCGTGCATGCTGTTCGGTTTCAAGCATCCAATGGATGAAGCACGCCCAGCCCCGGACGTGCTTCATCCATTGGATGCATTGATGTCAACAAACACGCCGTTGTCTGTGATCCGCTTTCAGACAGAGATATTGTGAAAGTGGTTAGGCCTAAAAACGGCCGCATCGCTCTCCCTGCTGAGCGAGCTTCGTATGGCACTTTTTCTTAGGCAAAAGGTACACCAAAAGCGCCCTAAAAAAAGTTTGCAATTTATAGAGCATGGTCACTATAGCGCGTCCACGACCAGCCATGGGTACGCCTCTGTCAGTGGAGACGTGCCACAGCACCCTGCCATGTCATATTGGCACCTGAAATGGCATTCGTGCAAAGTGTGTAAATGCAAAAACTTTACCCCTCGTAATGAACGCACCCCCCAAATATGTGTCAATTTTGCAGGAAAAAAAGTGCACTCATTATTTATTACGCGACTAAATATGGCGTGCGTGTGTGTGTGTATGTAGCTGTCAGTGTCACGTGAGTTTAACGTCATGGTGTCACGTGGTGTCATAATTAGGGTGAGTTGAGAACGGGACATCAAGGGGAAGGGTGGGGGAGGGAGAAAGAAAAGAGAAGGCAAACCGAGACAAAAAAGAAAGCTCTGCTACTATACAGTGCACCGTGAAAACGCACACTTTTGGGGCTTTTCGTACACAAGCACCTTTCTTACCCATTCTGCAAAACCCAACTATGCTAAATATGGTAATATGGAAAAAAGCCCCGTATGCACGCTTGTGTGTGCAAACAAAACTTATTGGCAAGTGGAGTCACGGAAAAGACTAAAAATCATACTCTGTTCGAGATGACATTTTTATACTGTTTCTTGTAATACACCGTCACGAGGAATAATTTTTTGTTTTCTTCCACTCGCTTGGTACTGATTTCACGAGCAAGTTCTCCAAAAAAAAGGGACATTTGTCCATATTCAGACAAAATGACAGGACGGTAGAAATGAACCTTTAAAGCGGGACGTGTGGTCACCCTAGTCATAATGTCACATGACATCATATGATGTCATGGTGCTGCCATCCCATGACATCACACAGTGCCACGTAACGTCATAGTGTCAAATGACATCATGACGTCATAAAGTCACCTGACATCATGTCATCAATGAAGTCGCAAGACAAATGACATCATGGTGTTGCATGATGTCACTAAGTCACGCAATATCATGGCATCAATGAAGTCGCGTGACGTCACAATGTCAAGTTACAACATGATGTCATGCGACTTCACAGGGTCATGTGATGTCACAAGGTCACTATCATTGAGGCTGCATGCCACGGACAGAAACTCCCCGAGGCTAGCCCTATAAATGCCGGGTATTTAGAAGATCTTTCGGGAATTCGGCGTCTTTTCAAGCTCCCCTCTGGGCTCGTCGGGGAGTTGGCCCACCTTTCGGAAGCCTTTGGAGCGGTTGGCACCCGATCCGTGGATCAGCACGGGGTGGAAGAAGACAGTGTCGCCGGCCTCCATCTCCAGGTACACCCGCTTCTCCATCACAGACTCCGGCAGCTCCTTCACTCCATGGTACATCTTGTTTACCCCTCCCTGCTCGGACAAAGATGCGTGTGGAGAGCTGCAGTCAAGTGAGGAATTAAACTGGGGTTTGATTATGGTGGCTGTGCCCTTTGTATCAGATGGTCACAGGCCAAAGAACTGGATCTATAGTCCGAAACTAAGAAAAATATTAAAAAGCCTACCGTAAAATCCCGAAAGGGCGCCCCTCCCCCGAGAGATCGTCCATCCCATTTTTATGGCTAAATATCTCTGACATAAAAATTCCGAAATATGGCCCACCCTCCCATTCCTGTGGGACGTCAGGCGATGTCTGACATGAATTGCGCATCAACGGCGCGATCTGCGGTACCGGTGCGTCCAAGAAGCGAGTTCATAACGGGTTCCCACGCTGTTGTCTGTGATCTATCAGTACACGTGATAGTTGGCTCCCATAACACACGAGTTTTTGCCACGTGTATATCCACTGTGAAATGCGAATCTGCTGCGTTCGCGATTTGTGGTATCCATTCCCGAGTTCGTAGCGGACTCCCGTGTTTTTCTTCACGATCTGCGAGCGCGATATCGATTCTTAGCTATAACACGCACAAGTTGTTCCCGCGTGTATATTGCATCGTGAAATTCGATTCTGTTGCGTCTGCGATCTGCGGCATTTGTTTCCATGACATGCGAGTTTGTAGCATATTCCTGCGTTTTTTGTCCCCGATCTGCACGCGCGATATCGGTTTCCGCGACAGGCAAAATTGTAGCGGGTTCCCGAGTTTTCATTGCACCATGAAACTTGAATCTGCTGCGTCCGTGATCTGCGGTATCCGTTCCTGTGAGATGCGAGTTCTCGGCGAGTTTCTGCGAGTCCTTCGCACCGTCAAACGCGAATCTGCTGCGTCGGCCACTTGCGGTATCGTTTTCCGTGACACAGGAATTTCTAGTGAATTCCCGCGTGTTTATCGCATCGTGAAACGCGGATTTGTAATTGTGTCCGCGATTTTCGGTATCAATTCCTGCGTCGCGTGGCTTGTATCCGGTGCCCGGATGTATATCACTAACTTTTTATGAAGTTTCGCTGTGGCATCCCCAAAGATAGCCCACCCCATGTTTTTCACCATTCCTCTCTTCATTTTGGGCGGGCGTTCTTACGGGATTTTACGGTAAGCACTATTGCCGTGGTAGCCCTCCCTCTTCACAGTTTCAACCCGTCCAGTCTTCATGTTGTGATTGCTATTGCCTCGAGGGCACGGGTAGTATCACAACGTCCAACGGTCGTCGGCAAAGTCGATGCAACAAATCTCGCGAAACGGGTGTCCATTATAACTAGGTCTTGGTTTCCTTCAAACCGTGGTTTGGAAGAAAGCTAAAAAAAAAAAAAAGTAAGCAAAGGCACCACAAAGCCTTTCATTTTTTTTTTTTTTTTTTTTCATTTTAGCAGAGAGAAGGAACACTGAAGAGGAGGAAACCACCAATAAGCAGAAAGTTGTGGGAGGGACTGTGCCACCCCGAAACACGGAGTGGTCGGAAGAACCGAAGCGTTTCAAAGTCCAGCGAATGCAACACTTCAGATCCACGGGTAGCTGGATGCCACAGAGTGAGGGTCCGTCGCGGACTGGCGACCCACCTCCCACTCTGGGTAGTCGTGCTCGAGTAGCTGCCCTTGGTGCGAACCGGGAATGGCCACCAGGCAGCCGTTCTCCCGGGTCACCCTCTCCATGGCCGTCCAGGCGCAGACGACGCGGTCCGCCGGCCGGAACGGGAAGTAGTACAGGTCCTGGTGCAGCGGGTGGCGCGACGTCAGCGTCCCTGCGGAGCGACGCCGCCTGTTTGGACTACGAAAGCTGCCGAACGTTACCGGGGTACCAAAGCTCCGGTGCCTAAAGCGCGATTCGTACCGTCCTGCCCGCGCATCAGAAGTTGCACTTTATTAGAACGAATTTTTGCCGAGGACACCGGACAAAAAGTGGTCCCTGAGCGGCAACGAATTGCGTCGCGGGAAACGGCGCATCGTGTTGTCGGAAATCGCGATCCCCGCAGTTGGTCGTTGTGGAAACGAGGGCGAAAAAGGCGAGCAGACACAAGGGTCGCCGTCGTCGCGGCATTTCGTCTCGGCTCGGGTCTGCTTTGGTTTCCACGGACTGCGCGGCTGCAGATGTGGTAGAACTGGCATCCGCTGCCAGTGGCGTACCAACTTGTTTTTGAGTGGGTGGGCAAACCGCAGACACCCCCCCCCCCCCCCCCCCCCGTGCGGGGGGGCGGTGTTTGCCCTGCCCAGTGGCGGCTTTTTCTGAGGGGGGGGGGGGGGGGGGGCAAGCGCCCCCCTTGCCCCCCCGGTTGGTACGCCCATGTCCGCTGCGCCCCCTCCGCTGCCGCTCCACTGCCAGGATCGCGACGGGCAACAATGCGACACTTTTACTAAGTTGTCGGCGGCAATCGAGGGACCGCTTTTGACGATGCGGTAAACGCGCCAGTCGGAGACACGCTCCCAACGCCGTGCGCGGCCGACGACACGACGCCCGAAGCGCACGCCGCTCGCACTCACCCACGTCGGGCGGCTTGTTGATGAGCATGGTGTGCATCGCCATCAGGTTGGGCCCGCAGAACGACGTGGCGTAGTCCAGAATCTGCAACGTGAGACGGCACACCCGAGTGGGTTGCACGGTCAACCCCGAAAGACGACCCGCCCCCTATTTGTGGCCCGATTTGCTATTTAAGATGGCCCAATTTTAGTAATTGGGACGCCCTGGCCAATGGTGACCTGAGCAGAAATGGTGTCGCCGAGCCACTACGGGAGATGAGCGAACGTTGCTGGCTGGGAAGGACAGTCGTCCTTCCCAGCCAGCTGCGATCGCAAGTTTTGCAGGTCACAAGATCTAAAACTGGCATTTTCTTTAACTTCTCTTTATCGCACACTGGAAATCTGCTCACTCCTCTTTTCTGCCCGATTTCCTTTCGATTTTAGGTGGGCTATCTCTCGGGATATTACGGTATGTGCTCCAGAGCGGTTGGCAAAGCTTCAAAACAAACAGTTGTATTATTAAAATGTTGTAAATGATTTTCGAAAATCTTTAGACGGAAAAATGGGGCCCGTTCTCGGTAGTTGGCGCTATTCGGCCCCATGTATTTGTGGGCTTTGTCAGCCACCATTTGACCGCTGAAAATTTAAAAACAAATTGCTAATAAGTTTTTAAAAACAGAATGGTTCGTTCTGCAACACTGGCATCTGGTCCGGATTGTTGGCGCAACATTTTGGTAGAAAGTGAGCGTTCAACAATGCAGTTTATTTTTGAAAAAAAAAAAAAAAAAAAATTTGGGGGGGGAAGGGAAAGGGGGGCACATTGTACCCCACCTTTTCCGAAATGCAGCGCCAGAAGTCGGTGCCCAATGCCAAATTTTCAAAGCTTGCTATTATCCGACACTCAAAAGTTATAATCTATCTTTGGTTTAGAAATTTTCAATGGGAAAATGAAGGTCAACAAAGCCCACAAATATTTGGAGATGAATCGCGTCGGTAACTTGAAACGGGCCGCATTTTCCCCCTGAAATCTCCAGAAAACCGATAATACTTTTTTAACGAGACCACGGTTAATTCTGAAATTTTGGCATCTGGCCGGGCCGCTAGCACTACACTAGAATAAAAACCGAAACGTTCGGCAATGCATTGTTAATCTCTGCAGTGACAAAAAAAAAAATTTTTCATTGTTTTCGGTGACACACTTTACCACCCGAGTGCCGTCTGCTCTGGGGAGCGAGCCGCACCGACTAGCGTGCAAACACGATTCAGAATCGCGTCGTTCCGTTAGCTCCAGGTGCAAATGTGTGGATTTAGACATGCAAGTTAGCGTGCTATGTCATACTCGATAAAGAGATTAATTGAACATAATTTCGCTACAATATCTACTGTGCAAATAAAGAAAGAAAACTAAAAACTTTGTAAACGAAGTGCACGATTCATTCGCTCCAGTCAAAAGTGAATGCGGTTGAGCCACATCAGTTTCATACTGATCCGAGCCTTTGGCGGCAATGATTGGCGATAAAAACAAAACAGTACTCGCCAAAAACAAACCACTTCGCCTGTTTTGGACGTTTCGTCGACGAAGCATGAACACACCCTTATCCATATTCCCGGTTTGAGGGCTTTTCAGTACGTAGCTGCGTTTGCGTGGCATGAGCGAGAGCAAACATTCCTATTCATAAGGACGCTAGATCCTGGTAATTCTATTGAGCTACCATGACCTAGATTCAGCTCGCGGGACATCGCTTTTGTGACCATTGTGGCTTAACAATGCGGCTTAATAGTAACTCTAAAAGTTACTATTAAGTAACTTTTAGAGCCCAGTTACTGAAGGTTACCATAAAGTAACTTTAAGAGCCCACAGGAAGCTCTCAAAAGAGCGCAAGCACCACGTGACTATTGGTCAGTCACGTGACTGCTAGTAGCCACTTTTCCGTAAGCACCAACTACAAACAAATCAAAATATTCTGGCGGGCTAGTTGGTTATACATAGTAAATTACAAATAGCGCTAAGACAAGGTTACACGAAGTGGACAGAACAGGCGCAAACTCACAACTGACGGTTTTATATATAACGAGAAAGAAGAAGGTGAAGGAAGTGGCTGGCGTTGAAAAAAGAAGAAATAATTCTATTTCTGGCCGGGCCGTTTTAAGAAAATAGCTTGTTAGTCTAATAAGACTAAAACATAGTAGACCAAAACAAAAATATTAGAAATTAAACAAAGGTAATGAATTTCAACTACCGTATGTACAATATTATTTTTTGAACGGAGAGACAATGACCTCTAGACCGTAAAAGACGAATATAATAATAAAAAATTAATAAGTGATCGCACATAGGTCGCCGATCAGTGTCACGTACAGCTTATAATCCATTTTACACCAAACAGGCACCACAGCCAAAGCTATACCAGCGCGAGCGCCAGGACCCACCTGGTGCCCCCCCCCCCCCCCCCCCCCTTCATGCGCTGTCGTGCAAACGTAATTCCGAAGATTGTCATGTATAATGGTTCAAGTACTAAACCGCTCTCTCAGTCAACGCCAAAGATGCTATGGAGACGCATTTCTCTCCATTGGCTTCTATGGTCTTTGCTTCCAAAAATTTCCCTGGCCCCCTTAATTGACTTGGAAACGTCTGATCACTTTTGTGTCCGAAAGCAAAGGTGTGCAGGAGCAATCTCGCACGTGCATTGCTAAATGGCCTACTAAACTAAAAACTAAAAATTTGTTTTGCACCGTAAAAATAGCTCTAAAAATTTTTTTTTTTATCAAATTCTTTTTTTATGACATTTATTTTCTATCTGAACTGTATAAAAAAAAACTTTTTTTTCCTTTGTTTATGTTTTTTAAGAATACTACTTAGATCATTGCGGAGCTTTGTGGGTGCGAGTGGACTGCCTGGTGTAGCATGCGACGTCAGGACCCACCTGCGGCAGGGTGCAGTAGCCGAAGAGCACGTCGTCCATGTACAGCTCCTGCACCTTGTTGACGACCTTCTCGTCCGACTTGGCACTCAGCAGGGCAACGTCCTTCATCACCACCAGGCCGGGCACCTTCACCTTCCCGTCCGCAATGCTCTGGAAGCGGTTCCTGCAAACGAAGCACCCGTCGAGTCAGGGTCCAACCAAAACTCTTCGTGGAAACTGGTCCGGTACCATTCTCTCCCCCTCCTTTCTCCCTCTCCTTGTTTCCCCCTTGCCTCGCTGGACTCTCGGGAAATCGCTTATGTGGCTCCGGTAGAGTTCCGCGGGTCGCGCTTTCTTTAATGCGAACGTTCTTTTGTAGTATTTAATTATAAAAACTGTGCAAAATGAGCCCCCCCCAAAAAAGTCACTGTATACTTCACATATGAGGAAAAGTGCACTCTTTCTCTATTATAAAACACTGATATTATATAATAGCTACGTTGTCTCCTGCCCCTGCCCCCCCCCCCCCCCCCCCCCTCGTGTAATGCCCCCTGGGTGATGTAAGCATCGAAAAAATAAATAAATAAATAAGTAAACAATCTGCCATTGAAGCAAGTCAGGGGAGAATATAAAAAGAAAAAACACCAACAAAGCAGCACAGCGTTTCCAAGAGTGCGACCCACTTGTAAGTTTCCAGGTCTTTGGAGCCCACGAGGCCTGGTACGACTATGAAGCCATTCTCCTCGTAGAACCGACGCTGTTCATCCGAGAGACGGGTGCTGTCCAGGGTGTAGCGGAACCCGCCGCTCGACTGATTGGCTCCGATCTTCTTGTTCACTTCGTCCAGCTGTGATCGGAAAGTGAAGATCGGTCACGGTAAAGATGCAGCACGAGGCAGTCGTAATTTCGTAATAGTATGTTTTTACTAACGAACGAGCAGAGGCACAAATTATGAAGAATAATTTGGCTGAATAGTCGGCAAAACAATGTACGGAAGACAATGATGGGGATTTGTTTAGTAGTCTTATGCTACGACATAGCACGAATGCCAGGCAGAAAGACAATGAATAACGAAAGAAACTATATGTTTCTTTCGTGCCTCGGACGAGCTGAGATCGTCGGCCACTTTCTGGCTAAAAATGCCGCGGACAAGCTCAGCTCATTCAGTGGTTTTTTCGGTTGCTCTCAATTCCACGGACGAGCTCGGCTCGTCCGGGTAGTTTTGCGGCGCTGATCGTAGATGGCAGCACTCGTATTAGTTGGCAAATATTTTTTTCGCCTCCGCTGCTTTTTGCGTAATAAACTTTTCAAATTTTATGTGTAATACTAGAGGAGTAACAATTCAAAATAAAAAAAAAAATCTGGCACTTTTAGGTTACTTTTGGGAAAAAAAATTTGGCACTTAAGGGGTTAATCTGGCAAACTTGAGCTAACGAACAAAAGAAAAAAAACGAGCGTCGAGGTATCGGCGGGACAGCTGGCTTGAGCGAGACTGACTCGGCAAGGCCTTCGAAACTCCTTATCTATACTACACTACGTTATTTGGAGAGTTCGAGCGTCGAACATTTGAGGTAAGAGTAAACACAACACTTCTAGAAAAATGGGGTAGAATCAATCGATAAACATTATCTCAAATGCCGGGCATCGAACCCCCGATGCCTGCGTGGGAGCCGCGTGCGTTGCCTCTTGGCCACACACGCGGCAATATCGCGGCGTAAACAGTGAAAACCCAGGTGGAGGTGGGAAGATTAGGTGCACGCAACAATGTATAATTTCAGCTTTAGTTTTTGCAAGTCAGGCTCTTCTGAACCATCGTGTTGACCTTACGAAGACTGCCTCAAGCTGAGGTCGCAAAAGTGAATCGACGACTTTACAGAAGTAGCGAAAATGTGCAGTGCCTTTAAATGCCCTTTTCTTAAAACGCTACATTCTATTATGGATGCACCAACGTAAATTTTAAAAAAGCATAAGAAAAATAACAAGGAAGATGCAGGCAAGCAGGTGAGCTTTCAACATTTCGAAAACCCAAGACGGAGGAACAAGACAAGGACGTTATACATGCACGCAGGTTTCGATCTCAGCCGTGACATCTATTTCCCCCTCCCTGGCTGATGAGCAGAACCCACAACTTTCCTTTCAGATGGGTGAAGCGAGTCATCGTTGCACCAAGGCACTGAAATGTTCACACACAACCGCAGCCCTCCCAAGTTTGCAACCCTTAAAAGTACAGCTTTTCGAAGCCGTGAACTTGGGAGGGTTGTTGTGCATACGGACATTTTTGCACCTTGGTGCGATGAGAATTTACTTTGCACGTCCGAAGGTCGGTGATGAGTCTTCCTTATAAGCTAGGAAAGAGATTAAAGAAATGTCGCAGCCGGGAATGAGACTGTATGTGTCGTTCCCCTTTTTGTTCCTTGGTGTCGGACTTCCAAGACGTAAAAAAAAAAAAGTTAAGGTGTTTTTATTTGGGGTGCTGCAACTGAAAACAACCCACAAGGAGGGTACTCCTAGCGGGTTCAGTTGCAGCACTCTGAATAAGAACGCACCTTTGTGCTGCTTGGAATGAAATGTCCGGCACCTTCCTACATCAACTGCCACCTAAGGCCCATTCACACACCTGCGACTCCTTAGGACCGTTGTTATGTTTTAGGGGGGGTACACGCGACGATCCCCCCTGGTCCAGCTACATGTCAAGGACGAGGGTGGCCGGCAAGGGCGCAACTCACCGAGCTGCCCAACGGGACCCCATGACGCGAGCCGGGCCGGTGGTCGGATCAAAGAGACATGTTGTCGGGTGAACGTTCAGGCCAATCTCTGAGCAAGCTCCTCGAGCCGCCCTATTTATTTACACACTCCCGTAGATGGCGCTAGTTTGCAACACTACAACCGTATGTTCTTACAACCTCTTGATCTCTTGGGATGAGAGAGAACACGCTGCTGCCACCTTTCGGATGGCCGTGGAACACTTAGTAATCCTGTATACTGTATTTAATTTTTTTTTTTTTTCCATCATTTTTTTTTTTTTTTTTTTGCTTGAAAAACTTTTGTCATATAATAAACAACCATTTTTTGTAAGCAGTTTTAATCTCTCAAACACCGCAGAACCTTCCCTCCAATGAAATGCAGTTTTACAGTAACCACATGGATGGTGCCAACACAGTAGTGCATTTTCTTGTCATAAGAGATCTTAAGAAAGTTTGACGCACACGGTCCTAAAAAGTCGCAAATGTGCTACCGGGTTTTCAAAGTCTAGAGACTGTTGGTGACTCTCAAAAGCCGCCGATAGCGACCAATGTTGGCGGCTTTGAACTCTGTCCCGACAAATGCAACTTTGTCCAAAACAGCAGTTATGGTAACGGCTACTCACAATGTGCTTGTCCTCAAAGACGTTGATCAGCTGGGACATGGCACCCCCCTTGAGATGGCCGACTATGGTCTTAAGCCGTTCTTGGGCCATGTTGCCTACGAGACAGGAAACAATTCATGCACGATCCAGAACTAGACCAATTCCACAAGCAATAACACTTAAGCGAGAGAACAAAGCGTTCGACATTGTCTTCTCCGCTCTTCATGGGAGCGGGAAAATGCAACTCCCTGTCGAAATTACGAGTGTACCGGCAGACCACCGTGCGATTACGCGTGCAAATCCCAATACCTACCGGGCAGTAAAATTCGGTTCAAGTGGTATGCGCACTTCTTGCAACTCTGAGACAGTTCGCAGCCACCATCGTTGAACCTAATCTCGAGCACAAATGACACGAGTGCTCCGCAGCACTGCGACATAGAGCTCATGTTCCACTGTACAGTGGCATATGTGTCACCCAAACTTGCACTCCTTGGCCACCAGCAGCGCTGACCAGCGACCGCCCTGAGGCCATAGGTCGTTACAATAATTTCAGCGGAAGCCTCTACGGACATTTGCATTCATTGACCATAGTCACGGACAGGATAAGACTGGTGGGGTGTCTTATTCAGATGCCCGGCACACGCTTGTTGCCTTCCACCGTGCATTGGCTCCGCACGCCCGCTCGAATCTCACAAGACGCCGAAATGTTAACGAACCTTGCACCGGGTACGAGACAACTGAAGGACGCTGCCCATCGTTCTCAGTTTGTCGCCAACTACAGCTAATCAAGGTAAACTACTCGACAAGCCGCAGGGGACGGTTCCACCCAGGACCCACGCCCACCAAGAAGCACAAGAAGCCTGGAAAGAATAGGGATGTTATTTCCAGAAAAGGGAGAGACAGGCTGACCTACCAAGTCTATAGGTTATCACCGACCGAGCAGCAGCCAAAGGCCGTACGGCAGCAAACCACATCACTGGTCAGCTAGGCTTGTGTGTCGGTCAGACGGCCTTCCCTGTGCACGAGCAACCGAGACCGCATCACACCAACGTCCAAGCACCCGCGCCCAGGGGTCAAGTCAAGGTCGTGTCAGGGACCATTCCACCGTCACCTTTGTTGTTGCCGTGTTGTTGTTTTTATATTTATTTGGCAGTACACTCTAGGTAGTTGAAAGTCAAGAATAGTAGGACAAGCTGCTCCCACTAAATCCTTAACTCTCTCTATAGTTTAGCGGCACGGTTGCTAACGAAGAGGCAAGTAAAAAGGAGAAATCCACCGATCATAGAGAACAGAGAGCATTCTGAGAGGGGTCACACAATTCCTAACCTGCAACAGACTATAACTGCAAAACTTTGGTTGGTATTACACTCCACACGGTAACCAAGGTACTCGTCAATCCTACGGGACACCGAGGCATAACCTTATCTTTTCCGGCGAGGAAGAAACTCCTTTTGGCGAAGGCTGAATTTTCGGCGTTTCTCTCGCACATTTGAAGCTATAATTGAAGTATCTTTGTAGGTCTATGAAAATTTTTGCTACACTTTTGATGAAAATTAGGAGGCAAAGGCAGGGGGTGAAGTGGTCCCTGACAAGTTTTGAAAAATGTTAGTCAAGCATGCTTTGGAAAACATTAGTAACCATTCAAAAGCAGCACCAACAAGTCGCTAAACCAACCTCGATGCCCAATGAATTTCTATATAGACTGAGGAGCCATGTGAAAGGTAAGGAAACGTTAGTGCTGGAAACATTGAGTTCAAATTAATGACTAGACAGACATGTTAACGCTCAGAGCTGCAAGGGGCTCATGAGTAGAAGTAAAAGAGCCATCTTCTGCGTCTGAGCTACCCACGCCAGACTGTCATCATTTCCGACAGCCCCGTGGCGCACTTACCGCACAAGCATGGTTTCAGCGAATCACAATGAAGCACAGTTTTCTCGAGGTGCAAAGATGCTCGACAACACTTTAGGTTCTACAGATGTGTTTCCTATTTAAAATCCAAAGTCGGGTGGTTAGGGGGATAAATTAAGAAAGCAAAGCTAACAAAAAAGCTTTCAGCCTTTCCACTCTGGTGAAGCAGAAGACCAGCGGAGCTGTACTATGGTGGGGCCAGAGCCGTATATTGGGAGAGGTTGGCCAGTGGGTGTGGCGACGAAGTCGGCGGAGAGGAGAAAAGTAAATGAAAGGGAGGAGAGTGCCAAAGGAGCGAGAGAGAAAGAAGGAAGCAGAGAGGAGACGACCGCCATTTTTTAGCAACGCTGTCGGAGAAGAACACTGCTGAGGCTATATGCGTCGTCTGCTACGGGCCGACTTCTTTTTCGCTTGAATAAAAGTTTGTGGCCATACGCCGAAAAATCTTCATTTATTAGCTTTTTAACCCACCGAGGAATAACAGAATGTCATTTTCTTGCCAGAGCCAGCGATATAAAGGCAACAATCGAGATTTAGATGCCGATCCTACGCATTCCGCCGTGAGAATGATCGAAGATGGCGGCCCTCCCCACTCAGGTGGGAGCAGCCGGGAGTTCACGCGCATGCGCTCATGCCTCTCGCTCTACGCCGCGTACTGATTGGCTCACTTGGGAGGGGAGCGTTACGGCGGCAAGATCATAGACTGACTAAACTCTCCCCATATACGGCTCTGGGTGGGGCGACCTCAAGGAACGCGCCCAGAGGACGACCCCAAGGACGATGTCCAGGACGACCTAAAGGACGTCGTCTAGGACGACGACTAAAACGACCTCAGGGACGTCTAGGTTGACCTCAAGAACAACATCTAGGACGACCTCAAAAACAACGTCTCGGAAGACCTCAAAGAAGACTTTTAAGACGACCTCGAGGACAACGTCTAGGATGACCTCAAGGACAACTTCTAGGACGACCTCAAAGACGACCTCGAGGATGACGTCTAGGACGACCTCGAGGTTGACTTCTAGGAGAACATCAAGGACAACCTCTCCCTCTCGGATGACCTCAAAAATGATTTCTAGGACGACCTCAAGGACAACGCTTAGGATGACATATAGGACGACCTCAAGGACGACTTCTAGGATGACGCCTAGAGAAATTCAGCCTTTCCACACTGGTGAAAACCAGAGTGGAAAGGATGGAAAGGTTGCCGCCATCTATGAGCGATGGTGGCAACCAGACAACTGGCAAGCCGGTTGTCTGGTTGCCGCCATCACTCATAGGTGGCGGTAGCTGTCCGGAGTTTTGTGTCGAGATTTGTTTGTCCACGGACACGAAACTGGGGAAACTAGACCTTAACAGCTCCGCTGTAAAAAGTGAGCTCACAAAGAGGTTATTTGATTGAAATATTCTTTGTACAGCTAATGCCCTAAAGCTCCAAATAAGGCATTATCTTCATTTCAGTTGGTGCATGAAGATAATGCTATGGAGTCTCTGACTTGCAAGTGCGGTTTGATCAATCTCGGACATTTTAATGCCGATAAACTACTCTTAAGACCCCCACAGGTACATGAGGCTAGCTATTCCTCACACCTAATAATTGTGCTTAATATATTTTAAATTGATTACTGAAAAATTCCTCCATTTAAAACTTGCATACATTTTGCGATTAATAACTGTCATGGGCTGCCGCATAATGTGGATGTCATCTTCGGTGCTCCTTCAGGGATACAATTCTGTTGTGCTCGGCACATAGCGGACTGTAGAAAGTGAATTAAGCATAACAAAAGAACAATCTCATTCTGTCTGCTTTGCCATTAAAAAAACATTATTTTCACATTGCTCCCTTATTATTTTATGTTGCTCTCCACGGAAGGCAAAAAAACTACGAATATGTGTCTAGACAAAAAATAACTGAGCAGAATATTAAATGACATTTCCGTATGGTCCCCTTAAAGGTAATCAAAACTCTCTTAGACAAACAAACTCCTGCCTCAACTGCTAACGACTTCAAAACAAACTCCTGCCTCAACTGCTAACGACTTCAAAGAGGCATGACAAAGACCCCCTCCAGAGAACAGCAGGGTTCACATACAAATGCCACTGTTCACCAATAGTTGGTACTGGCTGGCTGCCATATAGTTATGTGCATTTGTTTACAGCACACGCTTAGAACTGGCTCTCACTTATCGCATGCAAAGGATCTTGATTCGATGGAACGGACATGCATGGACGTTCCAGGTGCATTCCAGCCAATCAAAGTCGTTCTTGGCAGACAACAAATATATGAAGCAACTTTTCTGAGCGTTTAGACAGCTGTACAAATCCATCTCTATTTTTAACGTCAAGACCATCCTTCCTTGAATTGTTATATTCGTGCAGTACAAGACAAGCTAGCTCCTAATAAAATAAAAAAAAAAAAATGTAGGGGGGACGGCGAATTGTGACGCCACGGTTCAGCCCGGAAAAAGTACGTGCTATGACGCGCAGCCGGCCGCGCAGCGTTCAAGCGTGGAATTATACGGAGTATAATTTGAGCCGGCGCGGCGAACAAAGGATAGCATTAAAATGAAATTTCTCCTCTTCCGTGTGTCGCGCATAGGAAAATGGAACAAGCAGACGTGCGTGGCGGTGCCCAACCTCGTAACGAGCGCAGAATTTCGCTTTTCCATCGGGATAAGACGAGTCTGAGGCTATTCCTTCGTAATTCTGACGCTTTTAATCTTCGTAGCTAGTCATGTATTTCGCGGGTGATGACATCAATAAAGCGCTCGACGCAAAGCACTGAGCACGGAATTCCCGCGAAAAGCCTCGTCAGTTCCGTTTACCTTGCACGAGTTTTACGTGTCTGTCCAGCTTTGACCCGTGAAAAATGCGAAGTGCGGTCCGAAATGTAGAAACCTTTCTAGATGTCGCGACAACTACGCCTATCAATCAATTGCGTCGTTAACTTTGGCGACGCGATCACTGGAAACCGAAAGCCATGTCTTGTCGGCGGTTGCATACGTTGTGTGGTGACCTATATTTTCTTTCTTTTCCCCTTTGCAATGTCACTGACCGGCCTCGATCGTGACATTTCTGGCTGGAGTCATCGTTCTCACCTGTTGCTACTTTCGTCGCACGAAAGTGAAGAATATCTAGAATATCTGTGGGGCGATTCGGGTTCATCTAAAACGACCCCACTGCGTACTTTTGTATCGGCATCAGATTAGCTACGCAGACAACAACCGAAGGTGATCGCCGATCGGTAGATGCTGAGCGGTTCTGGAACTCACCGTTGATCGGTGAAGAACGCAAGTGTCAAGGTCGTAGTTGCGTGTTGATCGCAAGAAGAGTGGTCAATCGTGAGCCGGCGTCCTTGTAGATCGTGAGCCGACAGACTGCTCGGTCAGGAATGCTCACACAAGGAAAGTCCCGCGGGAGATGAGGAGCGAGCGGACATCGCGCAAATGCGCAAAAAAAGTGGCAAAAACGAAACTCGGGCAGTGCGTTCGATTCTTCTGTTTTCGTGAGACAAAAACACGTTAAAAATACGTCATCTAAGAGTATATCTATTAAAATCTTTACAAACACTCAATTAAAGTAAATAAATGAATGTTATTTGCGTTCTTTGCAACGAGACAAAGCTTATCTGGTAGTAATAAAAGTTACGATATGAAAAGGTTGAATTCTTACAAACATGTAATAAACGAACGCATTAAACACTAGCGTCCTCTGCGGGACATTTAATGCACTCCTTATTTTATTTTTAATTAGCCCATATTCGAGCTAAGTTTCAAAGCCTTAAAAACACTGTAATTAAATTTTTCTACGCTTTTAAAATGCCATAAATATAGTTAAAAATCTCAACATAGGGTGGATGTCTGACTATGGTGCCTGATGGATGCTGTACCGGCTGTGGCTGTACCGTTTATAACGGGTGGTAGCTCGCGCTACCTAGCCTAAATACCAGGAGCGAATTAATCCTTTTTGCTCCTTCTCTGCAGTTTTTAATTATTAACCGAACGTGTGGAATAACACTGGGATAAATTTTAAAAAATTAAGTCTGGTAAAAAATAAAAAAAATAAATCTTAGGACCCAATGTGGCCAGCGCGGCCAACCGCGCCAGCGCAGCAAAGCCAACAGAGCCGGCTCTGAACAGAGCTGTTGGAGCCTGGCGTCACTTCCGGCCAACCGGAAGTCTGGGGACGTGGTTGAACAACATGGCTGGGGCCAAGTTTCAGTACGACGAAAGCGGCGGCACTTTCTTCTATTTCTTGCTCTCTTTCCTCGCGCTCGTGGTCATCCCGTGCACCTACTACTTCTGGCCCAAAGAGGAGCGCCCCGCCGACGACAAGAAGGGCCGACGATGCCGCTGCATCCACTGCATCGACAAGAGTTGCCGGCTGCGAGTCAACGAGCCGTGGCGCCGCACCAAGCAAAATGTCATCCGCGTCCTCTTGGTGCTCGGCTGGGCCGCGATGCTCGCCACGGCCTACAAGGTAGCCCACCTCGAGCACGACTTCGTCAAGTGGGACCCGTTCGAGATCCTCGAGATCGACCCAGCGTCGTCGGAACGCGACATCCGGAAGGCGTACCGTAAGCTCAGTCTCATCTACCATCCCGACAAGGAGACCGGAGACGAGCAGAAGTTCATGCTCATCGCCAAGGCGTACGCAGCGCTCACCGACGAAGAGGCCCGCAAGAACTGGGAGACGTATGGTAACCCGGACGGGCCGGGCGCCACGTCGTTCGGCATCGCGCTGCCGTCCTGGATCGTCGAGAAAGAGAACTCGCTATGGGTGCTCGGACTCTACGCGGCGGTCTTCATGATCGCTCTGCCCGTGGCCGTCGGGGTCTGGTGGTACCGGTCCGCCAAGTATGGCGAAGACCAAGTGCTGTTGGACACGTCGCACCTCTACCTGTACTTCATCAACAAATGTCAGACGCTGACCCTGCGGAGGGTCATCATGATCCTCGCCGCCTCGCTGGAGTTCGAGAAGAGTCACAACCCGGAAGTAGTATTACGACCCACCGACGACGTGGAGCTGCCAGCGCTTATTAAGCAGCTGCCCAACTTTAACGAGAAGAACAAGGAGCGGCCGCTCTGCTACGAGTACAGCATCAAGGCTCGTGCGCTCATCTACGCCCACCTGCTCCGCATTCCCCTGAGCCCCGGCCTGGACGAAGACCGCCGGTACGTGCTCCGCAAGTGTCCCGCGCTCCTCGCCGAGTTCGTGCACTGCGCGTCCCAGTTGACCATGCTGGGACTGGCGGGCCGGATCTCGCGGATCCCCAAGCTGGAGACTCTGGAGGCGGCCATGCGACTCTGCGCGCTCCTGGTGCAGGCCCAGTGGGAGCACAGCCACCAGTTTCTCCAGCTGCCCCACGTGACGGAAGACCTGCTGAAGCACCTCAGCGGCCGCCGGCGCTGCATACGCAGCCTCCACCAGCTATGCGCGCTCCCTGCGGACGAGCGACGGGCGCTCTTTAGGAGCCTCAGCGATGCCCAGTACGATGACGTTCTGCACTGCCTGGAAGGGATGCCGCTCATCGAGCTGAGCGTCCGGACGGAGGTGCTAGACGACGAAGACGAGGGAGTCATCACGGCCGAGTCAATTGTGACGGTCACGGCGACGCTGAAGAGGAAGCCGCTCCTCTCCAACGCTCGAGAAGGACCGGTGCAGCCGGAGACGGAAGAGCCGTCTGGCGCGGAAGACGGCGAGACATCTGCGGCCGGCGACGCCAAGGAGATCAAGGAGAACTCGCCGCACGTGCGGAACAACAAGCCCAAGGGCTGGGAGAAGTCACGGAACAAGAAGAAGGGTGGCAAGGGTGCCAAGGGGAAGAAGAAGGGGCCACCGCAGGGCAAAAAGGGTGGTAAGCAACAGGTCGCAGAGCTCAAGGAAGAACAGCAGCCAGCCACAAGGGACGAAGAAGAGGCGGCGCCCGAAGATGACGAGGAGAGCAATTCGGAGGACAGCGAGGATGAGGGCCAGCGCAATCACCAGCACCACCGGCAGAGCCAGCAGAACCACGTGTCCGGCGGCACAAAGTCCGCAGTCGCCGAAGAGGAGGACGACGACTGGCAGAGCATCCAGCACAAGGTGTCCAAGAAGGACAAGAACCTGGAGAAGAAGTCGCGCAGGTCGCACGGCGTCCACTGCCCGCTCTTCCCCGAGGACAAGCAGGAGTTCTGGTGGGTGTACCTGGTGGACAAAAAACAGCGGAGTCTGGCCACGGTGCCCTTCCTGGTCACAAGCCTGGTGGACGTGGAGGAGGCCGTGCTCAAGTTCACGGCCCCGTCTCGGCCAGGCGTGTATAACTACACGCTCCAGGTGCGCAGCGACTCGTACCGGGACCTGGACGTGTCACAGAACCTCCGGCTGGACGTCAAGCCGGCCCAGAAGGTTGTGGAGTCGCATCCGCAGTGGGACATTTCGGAAGACGAAGCGGATCGGGCGGACGAGGAGGACAGCGCCGTCGAAGACTCGGACCTGGCGGCCAGCGAGGGCTCCGAGTACGAAGACTGACGGGCAGCCAACATCGCTCGCTTCATTGCCTTTTGAAGACGCCGTTGCCACGACTACGGATCAGACTTTGGACGCTTCTCGGGGGGGGGGGGGGGGGGGGGGGGGGGGCCGTGCTCGGTCGCTCTGCTGCTGCATTTTTAGGGAGGCGTCCGTCTGCCAAACTTCGTTGGGTCGCCGGCAGAGCGTCGAGGGACGGGCATGGGACTTGATGCCGATGGACAATATTTAACGACGGGGGTGGGGGGGTCGCGGCAGCTTCGATCTCGTGTTCGGATCCGGAGGAAGATCCGCTCGTGTGGCAATGACGGGGGAAGGGGGGGGGGGGGCGACTTTTGGAGGACTCTAGGATTTTGGGCGCAACCTCCCACCAACGATCGTCGGCATTATTTTTGTATTAAAAGTCGATTTTTCAAAGGGTACCTTGCGGTCACTCTTGAAATTGCTCCGGCAAGGACATGCTACTGCTTAACTTTAGGTACAAAATAAGTGTTGGTTACAGTATCCACCATAGAGAAAATAACAGAGAAGGGGACGGACGTTTTTGTTGTCCGTCCCCTTCTCTATGTTACATTCTTCATGGTGGATAGTTTGTTTTGCTGCATTGGCTTCAGTATTCATCCAGTTGTGGCCTTTAGCAGCTTGTTTGAGGTTGCAGACAAATGCCTTGTAAGGACTGCCTGTCAAATGCATTAGTGCATAAGAGTTAGTTTCCTATGCTCGTCATATTACAAGAGATCCAGTATGCTACATAGACCTTTTCCATCTCCTTAGAAGTCGACCGTTGACCTTTGAGAAAGCATTGTTCTCACTTTGATATGACTAAGGCTAACAGGACATACTTTGAGAAGTAGTGAAATCCAGCATATGGGGTCGGCAACTGAGCTCAGCAGGATTGTGCTGAAGACAATGAAAGAAACTACATTAGTACAAAAATGTCTTTATTTCAACTCCTGGTGAGCATTTAAAAAAAAAAAAAGGAAAAACACCTATACACATCCTCCTGGTCTTGAAGTAGGAAGGTCCAACAATATGGCTGCCTTCCACGTAATCAATCATCCAGGCTGACAAACTGACTCGTGCAATATGGCTCCAAGAGCTGTGCACAGTGCAAGAACATTCCAAACGCTTCATGATGCACGCGCACCTGCTATACTAAGTACAATAGCAGATGTGCTTGCATCAGCATGTAAACTACGAAGATAGTTTACATGTTGCAAAAAAACAAAGCCTTGCACCTCAGTGCAAAGCAATTTCTTTGGATCACGGCAGACAAATGTAAACCCCGAGACACCCAATCTAGGTCCTATCGGTACATTGATGATTATGGCGCGTTGTCTGCTAACTTTTGGTACAAATTCGTGACGTTTTGAAGAGGACGGTTCGCAACACCGAGCAGTGAAAAAGTAAAGTGCTGGTGCTGGCGCTAGTGTAAATATGGTTCCAGTATTAAATACTAGGGATCGATGGTTCCCTTAAAAACCGACGACCAGTTCACGCTTTCCACTTTTCCCCCACTTCCTCCTCTTCCCCCCTTCTACCCTGTCCGCTGTTGCCCGTTTCCTCCTTCCCTAGGGTGAGGAGGATATTCTGCCTTGCAGAATCGCGTGTCTGGTCGTCGGCCTTTAAGGCACGTTCACACTCGCGATATGATCTATTCGCGCGACAACTTTCATCGCAAAAGCGACCATCACGGAAAAAAAGCGACGCAAATTGAGCAGTCGCGAGCTTACCCGACTTTCTGCGATGCGACCTGGTTGCGGAGCGGCCGAGCCAATCGGCAGCGTTTGGAGTGGAGTTCTCAAGAAGCGCATGCCAGTGTGACCATGTGATTTTTTTGTGATGCGATCTAGTCGTTTTGCGCGACTGCTTTACATCGCCGGTGTAAAGCAGTCACGCTTTACACCGGCTATCATCAATCCCTTCACCAGTGATACTGATAAGCTTGTACGTGCCCAGGCCTAAGACCGCCATCTTATCATTTAAGGTAATGTACCAAGTATGGCACTATCATGCGTTTCGTTTGCACAAACCGCTTCCAGATAATCTCGTGCAGATGTGAAGTTGACCGAGATTGATGTGTCGATGAAGGTGCATCGAAGAAGTTTTGGAGTTCGTCTTCTAGGAATGCAAACTTGATCTAGACACTCCATGTTTTTTAAAACATAGCAGATTATTAGCAGTTGTGTTCTCCTCAGATGCAAGTTAAACATGCATACAGGCCCACTCCCGGGATACGCAAGAGAATGAGAAAGGCAGTAAAACTTTCCGTCGGGAATGATCTTCGAGGTCACCGTAATAAATACCCCCACGTTAAGGCACGTTCACGCAATGGCGCTTGCTTACGTCTTCTTATATTACGTTGCAAGTCACAGTGACGTCTGTGCTTCGTTTGTTGCGCGCAAAGCTACTCCTTGAATTGGTTGCCACACTTCCTACAAAGCATGCTTCACTGCGACTCACAGTCGTAGCTCAATGTAAGGGGCTGTCCAAACAGGTCGCAGCAGATGCAGCACACAGAAAAAAAAAAAAAACAGATGCGCTGCGAAACTTCCAGCGTGCAAGTATGTTTTCAGCAAGGACATCAACCACACAAACAGCCAAACGTTCCTCCTCCTCCTCGTCTCCTCCCCTTCCTTGTTTTTGGGAGGTTGGGAACTAACAAAACAGTGGACGACGTCACGACAGCCAGCAGTGTGTGGGAGTGGCTATCCAAGTCTACGTGATGAGCACACTCTAAGCCTCCGTCCAAGAACGCAAGCGTAGGGAAGCTTTCCCCCCGGCAAAGAGAAAAAATGCGACCAATTGGATCGTAATTGAACGAAGGCCTCCACTCCTGGTACAGCAAACGCCGTGAATGCAAAGAACGCGTCTTGTTTGGACAGCCCTTAAGGAGACGTAAGAAAACGGTATGGTGTGGACGGGCCTTCACACCCCACCATGACAAAGTTTGAAAGGCACCGAAGGAGTACGAGGCAGTTCGAGTACGGTGCCTCAAACGCGTCTCCGAACAGCGTGTGGTCCCGACGTCGCAACAAATGACGTCACGAGAAATCTAAGGATCGCTTTCTTTTTTTTTTATGCGGTAAACACACTGGTCGGAGACACATTCTAGACACCGTAGTTTGCCCGAAATCAGCGCCGTTTTTCCGGCTCCGGATCTTTCACGAAGAGCAGGCACTGGTCCACACCGTCGGACTCCGAGTCGCTCTCTTCGTCGTCAGAGTCGGTGTGGTCCAACTCGTCGTCGGAATCCAAGGTCGAGTCCGAACAACCCGTCGAGTCACTCGAACACGAACTGCTGCTGTCGTCGCTGTCCGTCGAACTGGAGTCTGTCGTCACATCCGTCTGCTTCTGCGCTCCCGCGGAAGCGGGCTTGGCGACTGCCGGTCCGCTGAACTGCGGATCCAAAGCCGTAGCCAACGGATTGGAGATGCACAGCGCCCCCATGGAGGCTTCGACGGCGTTCACGGAGACGGATGTTTCGGCAGATGCCTCTTGGACGGCGAGAAGTGCTCCGGACTCAAGCTCGGATAGGTCGAGTCCCACGTCTTCTTTGTGGACCTTCACCTGTTCCGAGAGATCCGACAAAACGACAGGTCAGAAGGGAGTACCAAAGACAGGCTATCTGGTAGCCTACTGAGCCTCACAAACTTTGTTATCTCTTCTTACTGTATCTGTCCCCGGTCCCATAAAAAGATGCGATAAAGGTCATTTTGGCTGTGTCAATGCTTAAAGTTCTAATGCTGCCATCTTGGGAGGAATCCCAATGATTACATGCACTGTTGTGCTGCAGGGAAGTGACTTTAGATGCATGCATGAGGAGAGCACCAGATGACTTTCTTGATGCCCAGCCACAAAAAGTTTAAACGATACTCGCACCCACATGTGGTGCACGTGACCCTGTCACATGCGAGGTGAGCGGTTGGTTGTATCGAATGTGACCGTGAAGTTTCGCTCGCTTCCATCCGGAAGGATTCACGTGAGCGAAGCGAAGTCGAAGCGGGCGAGGCTGTGGTGGCGGGGCCCCGAGGGGCAGACGACGGACCGGGATCAGCTCGTTGCGGTTCGCCGTGTGTCCGGAAGGCCTTAGCAAACAAAACTCGAGGAGCGGCTGTGGTGCGCGATGCGTAAGCTGTGCGTACCAGAGTACTGTGCTCGCTACGTCTGGTAGGTTTAGCGAGAGCAGCGTGAAGGCAAGACCCTGATGGGCGGAAGATGGACCATGACGAGAGGACAAGCCGAGCCACCGAGCAGTTTGAGTAAATGAAAGTGTGTGGTGTTGCCAAGACCAAGTTTGGGCTTTGCAGTGTGAACGGCTGCAGAAACCTTCCGCGGCGAGTTTCGTTCACCGGCATGCCCCTGTTAGATTACGTCCCGAACTTAGATTCTTGGACGGCGAGAAGTGCTCTGAACTCAAGCTCAAAAGCGGTTCTCTTAGATTTCCGAGAGCCACCGAGCTGCTCAAACGACGGATTTCAACCTTTTGTTGCGACAGTGACTGAACTTCATCGAAGTGGAGTTTCGTTCACTTCAAATCTGATGACTTCGACAGTCGTGCCAGGCCTGCCCCTGCGTTAATACATGAGTTGTGAGTGTGCGCTTGTCTGTTGTCTACGTGTTCCTCTTCTCTGTCCTTGTCCCTGTGTGCGCAACTGTCACTATGTTCAAGTTGATCCAACGTTGGTCACGATACATATTCATAAAACATCCTAGTCCAACTCAACTGCATGGTTCAATGTTGGTCATGATGCATACCAAGAACACCCCCAACTGTACTGTGAACTCGCCTGACTGTGAACGCACCACAAAATATTTCACACTGGCGTGCACAATCGCAGTCCAAATTCATAAGTATTTATAGTTCTTTCGATGCAAAACACATTTCTCAAGCAGAATGAAGTTACGCACATTGTTAGAACGTTGGTATCTACTGACACGATGGTAGCAAAGTGTAAAAAAGCATAATTTTTTCAATTTATTGTTACACGACCAAATAAAAGGCAGCAGGCGCAGTCAGCTGCTGTGATCGTGAACAGAACCATGGTGGAACCTGGTGCCACTCAGTTCATAGGCGCAACCATATCCCATTCACTGCTCACGTGTGGTTCGTGTTTGAAAGGGAAATTGGCAAGGAGAATGAGAAAGAGGCAAGCGACAAAGGAGGATGGCTTGGGAAAGCTATGTGACTCACGTCATATACCCTCCCCGTGCATGCATGCCTTGGGAGATGCTTTCCCCTCAGTACAATTCTGCGCTGCAAAGATGCCGCACCATTTAACGTAAAATACCAGGGGAGCGCCCACCTAACTTTCACTTAACAGTAAATTAATCTAGACATGGGCGCTTGTGCGGTCAAATCGGGTGCTTAACGTATAATTTGTAGAATTCCCAAGTTTTGCACGCGTCAATAGTGGGCGCTTGAACGAAGTGGGTGCTTCTGCAGTATTTTACGGTAGATTCATTCGCCTATGAGGAATACTTTTCCACACAGGCACTGCTGTACCGCAGAGAAGCGATCGTGCATGCAGGCACGCTTTGGATAGAATGCTTTCAATGTGGCATACTGCTCCACTGCAAAGAAGCAGAGCTACATTCATCTGGGAGGAATACTTTCCCCTCAATGCATTGCTGCACTGTAAAGAAGCGGCAGCACATTCATACATTTGTCTGGGAAGAACGCTTTTCCCTACATGTGCAGTTGCACCGCAGAGAAGCAATCATGTGTGCACAAATGCTCTGGATGGAATACTTTCACTGCAGCCCACAAAGAGCACTGCAAAGAAGCAAATCTACATTAATACAGTTTACTAAGAGAGATGGCTTTTCCTGCACGCACCACTGTGGAGAAGTGACCCACATACACGGTTTTGCTCAGCCTGTGCTAGTATATGGAAAAGAGATAAAGGAAAATAGCAGACAAGAAAATACCGACGTAGGTAGTACAAAAATGGTGAATCACTTTTTCAAAACTTACATCTTGCAAATCAGGTATGCCACTGTTAAACACATACATAAAAAATGTGTCGGATATAAGCACGAAACCTGAGAAGCTTGCGTCAATTATTCGCCGAGAGAAACACTCACCTGCTTCAGGGCATCTGCCAAGGAATGCAGCACTTTAGGTCTGAAATAAAGTTTTGAATTACAACAACTTTCTTTCGCTTTACAAAACACGTCCAATTCAATTCAAGATAAAACCGGGAAAAGTCCAATTCAAGATGAAACTGAAAAACTACTTGCCAGTAAAGTTTTCATCAGTTCTGCACATCTGAAAAACTCAAATATAATCACAACTACAAAAGAAAAAAAAAACATCTGAAGCTTTACATTAACTTCTGCAGAGTGATAAGTCTGTGGTTCTAAATAGCCACTCCAGTCTCCTTTCTAACCGCAGTTAATCAACAAAAGAATGGTTAATGCTTGTTTGGGACAGATCAAATTTAAGTAACTGAATGTGGTAGATACATTTCCAGTTTAGAGTCTAACTACCATTTAGGCCTCTCACCAGTAGGAGGTAGTGTCTTTATAGCAGCAAATGCCATATTCCAAAGACTTCTCGAAAATATTGCGCACAGTTAAACCGGTTTGCTATTTTTCTATGCATTTGTGTGTGTAAAATAGATGTTTTTAGTTTTTTTTAATGAAAAGTTTTTAGAATTAGATATGCAACAAAAACTAAACTTTGACAAAGGCCAAACACCCCGAGAACTGGATTTCACAAAAAAAATTAATTAATACAATGGAATCTTCTTAATTCAAACTTGCAGATAATTCAGACTTACATGCAGGTCCCGTCCTATGTGTTTCTAGGAAGGAAACTCCCGGTAATTCAAACTTTGCATTATGCAAACAAAGTTCTGGTCCCCCTCGGGTTCAAATTAATGAGATTCCACTGTATTAGCTCAAAAAAAGTCATTATTCAATGATGAACTCCAAAGGCACAGAACTACAACGATAACCTCTGAAAGAATGGGCCAGTCGATGCCACAAGCAGCAGCACCCGAAGGCTCAAAAAACTCACTTGACGGACTGCACCCAGACAGCATAGTCCGTCACGTAGAGGTCGTTGAGGACGTAGCGGGAGTCGTGTTTGTTGAACATGCTGTGGACGTCCAGCAGGCATCTCAGGACGTACCTTGGTCCTTGGAAGGCAAAATGAGACATCCACGCATCAATTGAGATTCGCTGCAACCTCCTTGAAACTCGGTTTACACGTTTGCATTCAGGTGCGATCGACTGCATTGCAGCCACCTGCAACTGCTTCTGACAGAAAACCACACTGGTGCCATCTAGCGGTTAGCCCGGGAACCCTTGCGATCTGCGTACAACTAGACCTAAGGTTTCGTAGCACTTGAGAGATCAAATCTATGCGCCACCTACGGGAAATAGTCATCCGTGGATCCTCGTTGAGACGTCCCCGGATAATACAATTTCCCGGGGGGTACATTCAATGTTTCGCCAACTTTCAATCGGATCATTCATTATTTTTGGCGGCCAGCAGACAGAACTACCTTCTTGCAAATGTGGAGTGCTCGGCGAGCGCTCGACCTGTGGCCACTCGCCGCCTTTTAGCTTCAATATTTTACACCACCCCTTCTATCACAGTCACGACGACTACCCCACCAATTTCTTCGGCGGTACAGCGCGAGAGAAAGTTACGACGACAGCATCGGATGAATGCGACATTGCTGCAAGTTTACAAATGAGCTGTTCAACGATCGAAACGGTATTAATGCCAAATTTTCTGCCGGCAGTTGCAATCGATGCGAGTGAAGTTCTCACGCTATGTACGATGGCAAGCTCCACTATTGTTCCACATTAAGGGTATGGCGATTAATTGCCTTGGCAGTAAATCTGAATTGTGTATTGCTTCCTCGATCGGTAAGGCTTTCGCATTGATCGCGGTGCCAGCGAGGTGTCGGCAGGCCACTTGGGGTGTCTTCAATATGGTGAATACGAGTTACTCCGCCAGGTCGTATCCTGTGACATTACACATAGAGCAACACTGGATGCGGGTAGATTCCACCCTACTCGCGTCCACGAGATTGAGTAAATTTTATGGCACTTGTGCGGTTAGTGCCAGAAGCAGTGTGTTCACGTATTGTTTTTTAAGCGGTTCCAAAACAGACCCATGATTGAGAGTTACTCTCAGTCACTCCAGCAAGCACCTTGAGCATATTGCCTTGAAGGGGTAGAAAATGTCTGCACTGTGAAGAAACTTGCATAGATTACTTCCACGTATCGACCGCGTACCCTGTCTAATACTTCGTTCCCCGCATTGCGTGCGGCCAAAAAACACAGGGGCAAAGAATGCGAAACTACTAAAACAAAGTGCTAAAACCAACTGTAAAGATGGCTAAAAGTGAGGCAGTGTTGATAAGACGCAGGAGTAAGCAAACGGCCTTAGCAGACAACGCGAGGCGCAATAGCCATGGCAACAAAGGGAGAACAAACGTCGTGACCAATGGTAGTTGCACGCTTCCTCGAATGCCCACTTTGGCCAATCACGGTTTCGCAATCACGAGGAGGAAAAACACAGATTACACTGAGGCTATGCAGTGGTTACCATTTTGAAGGGTAGCAAAAAGAAGAAAAAGAACTTCGCTTCAAAACAAGACCAAGATGGCGGCCGTCTGCCAAGTTGAACGCGAGTGGCAACCGCTCAAAGTTTGGTTCAATTTTGCAGCTTGAGCGGAATTCAAAAGCCGCTGAGTGCTCGTAAATTTTTTTTTTTTTTTTGTGGATTAGGTGCTGATATTTAGAGAAGAGGTAGTTTAAAAAATATACAACACAAAAAAAAAAAAGTTTTTTGCACTAGAAAATTGCTATTCCGCTGTGTAATTGCCAGGGAAAAAATGAAAGACGTTTACAAATATTTGTAATGCGAATTTAGAGTGCAGCTCTTGAGGAAGAGGAGGGGAGGGTATGGAGGGGAACGTATGCCCCTCCTCTTCTCCTCCATCCCCTCCTCTTTTCCTCCATCCCCTCCCATCCTCCTCTGTACCCTCCCCTCCTCCCACAGTTTCCCGTTAAATTTAGCTGAAAAATTGATGCCACGTGATCTCAACACCAATTCAGTTTCCCCGCTAAATTTAGCGGGGAAAATGACAACACATGACTTGGTGTCACGCCACCTATGAACAAATTCAGTTTCTCGCTAGATTTAGCGGGCAAATTGATGTCACGTGACTTCAACACCACTTCAATTACCCGCTAAATTTAGTGGGGAATTGAATTGGTGTTGAGGTCAAGTGATGTAACTTTTCCCGCTAAATATAGCGTGGTTACGCCCTACGCCGAAGCCGCGAAACATAGAAACGGGCACCCAAGATCTGCACTCTACAACAAATTATTTGCCTATCCGCAGCCGCGTGTGGTGGTTACGGGAACTACGGTGAAACGTCCTCTGGGGGATGCGCGAAAGTCAACAAAACCTGTCCCCCTCCACTGCCACACTCGCCGTCAGCCCCGTGGCCAACCGTCTTTTGTGTCGATCGCTTGTCGCGACCTTCGACAATGCTGATCCTGGAAAAGCCGACAATTGCGGAGAAAGTGGCTGGGGTCTCTGCAGAGAGAAACTAACGAAAAACCAGATGGTCTACTAAAAACGTCACTCGAAAGACGGCATGAGAGTTGAGAGGCGATTTGACCTTCTATTTGCTTTTTGTTTTTTTCTAAAATAAGAACTAGTGCACACAAAAAAAGACGGTTTTCTGTTCTTTCTACAGGCGTCACGAATTACCGCAATTGATTGGCCAAGTCAGAAAAAGGTTGCACCGCCCCTTTAAGTTCTGATCATACGATTTCCTGTGTATCTTTTCTTTCTTGCACTGTTTTTTCTAAATGTATTACTGAGGTTTTACTGTATATACTAATTTAGGCGAGGCAGGTAATACAGTATAGACCACTTACAACGTAACCGCTTATAGTGCAGGACCGGGTATAACGCAGCTTTTTTAAACCGCCGGTTCGCCTCCCATAGAACTCCATGTAATTACATACCGCTTAAAATGCAGGCGCGCGAAGGGAAATACCGGTTATAGTGCGGTTTCTGCTACAGCCCGGCGACCGCGCCGACTGACCGGTACAGCGAGCACGCTTCCTTGTGCGACACTAGATAACGGCGCGAGCCGCAAGCGGCACTCGCGGGGCAAGGAGGTTGCTCAAAGAAGCGGGGAAGCGAAGAGAGAGGCTTCAGTTGCGATAGTGACGGAGGGATGCACGCACATGTCGTTCACATGCGTGCGTACCTCCGCTGCATTGAAAACAACCGCAACGACAGACCAATCGCAGGTCGAGGAGAAGTGTTCGCGCGCGTTGCATGCCGGTCACGGACCGGCTGCTTCTATCTGCAAACATGGCGTCGGTTGTGATCGTCGACGTCGACGGCGTGGTGGAAGCTCATCGTTCCGCGTAAAAGCGGTATCCTTCACTGTGAATGTTCGTTGTGTGTTGCTGTGATAATCCAGCACATACTAGAAGGGAAGATCCACCTATTTGTGCGGCGATGTCGTGGCGACATTCTCAAGACGGCAGAAACGCCCGTGTCGTCGTGCTTGTTTACTTCGACTACAGTGGTGATTTCTAAACATTTGTGTTTTCGAACATCGCCCGGATTTCTTATTTGGAGCATTTTATGCCAGTGCTCAAGTTGAAGGTATTACTGGCACGTACCGTATAAAGGATGCGAATTTTCACACGTTTTCATCACCGGAGAAAAGTGATTAGGGTTAGCAATCCTGAACACTCGCAACGTCCGTCCGCAACCCGCGACGCCGCTAAAAGGCTGCACCAGGCAAAAGTCGCTCATTTCTTTCAAAACGTGTGACACACTTGAGAGAGAAGTGTACTAGTCTGGTGAAATAATGACTTTCCTCAAACTAAGCTTTATTTTTCATCTAACATAAAATAAATTCTTTTACAAAGGTAAGTTGTCTGATGGCATGTATTTTGGCCTGAAAAATTGATGTTTTGGTTATAGTGCGGATTTCCGCGACTCCCACGACACACGTTATATGCGGTCTACACTGTAGAATGGAAAATAGTGTCTCAGTCTGCCCCCCCATTAGCATCACTGACTTAATGCAATTGAAAATAGACGAACAAGGTAAAAGCCACTAAAAAAAATTGCCAGAGAAAGTCAATTTGCGAAAGAAAAAGACAAAGGTCATGGTGGAATCTAGCCAAGGGAGCAGGTCCAAAAAACTGCGGCTGCATAGCATTTCTAGAATTATTTCAAGCACACGGTGAAAAAATGATAATACTGAGATCGGAGCTGTTACAGAACTATCAGATGGAACCAGTGTGTTTTCTCGTCGTAAGCGGCCACGGGCGGTTGCACTACGGTCGGCCGCACTCAAATGCAAGTGTGCGGACCAGCTTCGAGCAGTCTCTCACCCAATCGCAGAATCTGTCCGACGTCGGTGACCACGGCACGCGAGAGTGCCCAGTGGCGATGCAAGGGGTAGACCAAACTCCGCCGGACACAACAGCGTACCGTCTGCTCCAGGGACCAGAATTCCTGGACGGCGTGATGGCATTGCGCGGTTTTGTTAGTCATGAAAAAGGAATCGGTGCATTAAAGTACACGACCTCCAGCAATGCTCGAGGTTGGGTAAACGTCGACATTTCATTTCCTTAGCCGGACCCACGTCGTGTGCATTATTGACGGTTAGTTGGTAGTGCAAAGGGATCAATGCATCGTAATACACTATACTCCGTTCTCCCTTACTGCCCGACATACAAAGAGTTTTCTCGCAAGGTAGGGAAAATCCTCCTCGCTACCCTTCCCATTTCCCCTTCTTCCACTGCTATCTTGATGGGGAAGAAAGAATCCTTTTGTTGGGCCTCGATTAGCCGGGATAAGCTCCCGGCTTATCCGGCCCAAAGCTGCAGCAACTAAAAGAGTCCCCCCCCCCCCCCCGCTGTCAAGATAGAAGTGGGAGAGGGGAAAAGGGGAAGGGTGGCAAAAAGGATTGTCCTAACTTGCAAGAAATTATTTTGTAGGTCAGCATTTAAGCTGAGATTGTAGCCAAAGCTACAAGCACGAGCTAGCCCATGCTCCTGGCTTTAAGACATGCATTTCTAGCGCGAGTGCTCGTTCTGCGGAAGAACTCTTCAAAGCAGCAAACTCGAGTTCTCTCGTGCTTGAGGCATTGGCTGCAGTCTCAGCTTAAAGAGCCCCTGAAAAGAAAAAAACTGTTTTTTTTTAAACAAAATGGTTGAAACACGTGTCAAAAAAAAAAATTTATACGAAAAATAATTTTTTTTTAGCAATATTGACGGCGAGAGATTTATTTGAAATTCTGCGGGCAAACTCCTGACGTCACAAAATGGTCATTCACTCAACGAGATGAAGCCATTCCACCTTTCCTCCACGCACCCAAAAAACCGAGAAAGAAAACAAGTGGAAAGGAGGTGACTACCGACCAAATCGTGTCTCGCGCCGTCAATATTGCTTTAAAATTATTTTTTTTTCGCGTAAAATTAATTTTTTGACACGCGTGTCCCAACCACACTGTTAAAAAAAAATTTTTTTTTTTCTTTTCAGGGGGGCGTCTTTTGTTGTTTAGAATAAGCATTTAGCGCATGTCGAGCGAAGGCAATGCACCATTGCGAACACCAATAGCAGCCCGTGAACGGCCCCGGATGTACCTCAAATAGAACGGGCCACAGGTACAACAATTCCTTACTACAGATCCGAATTTCGTACAAGACTCGACAGTAGATGAGATGTATCGCACCATACATGCGATACATCTGCCATCGAAACTGTCAACTTTGACCTGCGTTTTTAGAGTGATAGCCCTGTCTATCGCATGCATGCCAGTGCATGCACACGGTTACTTAACTTTCCACAATCAACTGTGCAAAAAAAGATTAACAAGGTCTGAACTAGAGGCACCAAATAAGCTACACTCAGAGTATGGGCACTCTACTGCCCAAATGTCCTGTGGGTGCCGCCATTTTGTTGCCTGGGACAGAGAGGGCACAAATGTCAATATATACAGCCTGAAAAAGTGACTTCCTAAATTTTAATTACAATGTCAGCAAGCCTGGACGATATTGTTCTGCTCCGTCGGGGACTGTTTTAACATTTCTGGGGGACAAAAAAGCATTTTTTGCAATTTCGGATAACCGACAACGAGAACTGAGCAACAGAATAGCTGAAGTGGCATACTCTGGAGCATAGACAGTGACTCTAGTTCAGACGCTAGCAAAAAATTAGACTCGCACCTCAAACCAGGAGAGGGTGGCGCTCAGTTTGCTCACGGTCCAGCCAGACTCCACCTGAGGGCAAGGTCAGATCAAGGTCAACTATACCAGCGAACCAAACCATTCCGTCAGTTCTCACCACAGCATCTGCCAACATGCTCTTTGTCGTCTTATTAGTTTCTATGCTTCCCTCCTGCCACAGTTCCACCACAGATAATGCAGGTACAACCGTAAATGTCATAACACTTTAAAAAAAGGAAGTCAAAGTTTGCAGACGCCACAAAGCGTCAGTTTTAGCAGATTATGCCGACACGTGAACAGCACAATATTTGTCAGGAGACATCGTAATGTCCTGCAGGTGTGTGGATTACTGTACGACAGCAAAAACCAAAAAGAAAGAAAACAGGACTCACGTTGTTGTCGCCCTCCGTGACCCGAACGTTGTAGGCGTAAGCAAACAAGATGTCCACCAACCCCAACAGAAGAGAGGCTTCCGTCTGCTTGTCAAGAAGATGTGCAGAAGTGTGGTCAAGGCATCTTCAAGCGCCATAGATAACCCATTCTAAAAGCAGTATTTAAAGAACTCAAAACATGGTTTTCTGCCCGCTCCAGTGGCTATAGGCCTGTTTCTCTCAGCCAGGGAAAGCTGTAGCGTGCACGAGACACGACCACAAAGGAGGTGCCTTTGGTAGCGTCCACGAAACGCTATCATTTAATGCTGACATGAATTGGCATCCTAGCTTCCCATCCATATGATCCACGGGCGTAAACTAGCGTCTGTCAGCGTCCCTCAAAGCCTGTCTCTGGGCACAAACAGAGCCTTTGAAAGGACACAATGTGATCCACAACAGCAACGCAAGTTAAAAATATTTGATTTTGCTCGCCAAGGGCGCTGCTTGAAACTTGAGGCCTACAGGTCTATAGACGACGCTCTGGCTCTGTACAGATAACCCCTCTTGTCTAGCATCTTTAAGCATTCGGCAGATCCCAGTCGTCACAGCCACTCTTGCCGTTACGGTAGGCCCAGAACTGGATTGGATGCTGCTAATGTTGGTCCATAGCCAGAGGACGATCTGCCTTTGACATTTGATGACACTGGTCTAATGATGTCCAGAGGCAATTTGGTGAATATAGTGTGAGTGTTAACTTGGGGGTCTTTAGTTTCCAATGTGCATTGGTGATTATATGATTGCACATTGGTGGAAGTAGTTCCACAATGATAATGGGACTCGGCATAACAACCTTGTGCGCAAAGGAGCACCGTTTGTTCCAGCGCCAAGCGGTGATTCCCGCAACACGCCTCACACTACCGCAGCATCGCTCAACAAGATGCAGAAGAACCCACGATGGGTTAACAAACTTCTAAGAGTGGTGGCATAGCTCCTCGTCGCCGAAAGGATATATTCCTTGCGCGGGAGATTCCTCATCTTGGTCTTCTCGTCTTCCGTGAACTGAACTGAAAAAGGCCACCGGGAACATATTTTTTTCATGAGCCACATGCAACATGAAAAAAGCTAGTCGAAGCAACAATACACTACACCAACTGGCCGAAGGGCAAAATGGCACACACTATCATTTTTCCCGCAAATTTCCACACTTCGCTTCCAAAGAACCCGAGAGACTCACAAGGGGCGTCGCCTGCAGCCGGGTCGTTGGTGTCGCCGAGCCGAGAGGCCAGGTTGGACCACGGAGCGGTGTACGCGAGGATCCCCTCAACAGCCGCAGGTTCGTAAAGGTCAGCCCTGCGTGTCAATGAGGCGGGCTGTTATCCTTTGCCAATGTTCAACGCCACTCTTTCCGCCTTGGATCAATGTAAGGATAGAAAAGAGAAGAACTCTTTGTTTGCCGTCAGTCGCCAACTTTTTGGTTCAGACGCCGAAACACAAAGTAACCGTCGCCGACAAAAAATACCTAGATAAAAACAACAGGTTGCAGTGCAAAACAAAGTAAGATAACTCGGTGTATCTGTCCTTTGTCGTCGAGTGTAACTGTGGAAGTACTTTTCGGCTCGATGGTCGACTAAATTAATTAATCGTCAATCGTTGTGTGTGGGCTGCGCCAGGAACCAGAGCACATACGTCTCGGTAGAAAAGTTAGGATGCCAAAGTTTGTGAGATCTGGGCGAGGAATAAACACTGGAATGTTTGTGCTGAACTCACAAGTAGTGCTCGTCGCTAAAGTGCTCCGCTTCCATGGCCAGCCTCTCTTCCCTGGCGATCCGCACGCTCTTGTGCTCAGGATCCACAATGTCCACAATGTCTGGAAGTTCCTCCTGGAAACGTTCGGGGCATGACAATCAACCCGTCCCAAAAAGGACGCTGCAGAATTGAAGGAGCACTTTGCGACGTGCCACCGACTTTGCACGGGTTGCTCGTGTGCCGAATGTGCAGAAAGCCGCAAGTCAATGCAAAAAACAAAAATCACTTCGACATAGAAGTTTGTGAGAAAGTTGGGAGTAAAATAAATGTAACATCCAAATTGAGATGATAAGTTACTTCAGTTACTGCAACTAGTTACAATAGACCATTTTTCCAAGCGCCCCGGCCAGCACTCGAGGAATCATGGGAACAATGTTCCTGTTCATCAAGTATCTCGCTTCGTCCATGCCCAGTTGTGCTGCTTCAATATGAAAATGCACCAACTCACCCAGTTATCCATTCTGTTTCAGTAACCTACCATTCTAGATCCCAAGTAACTATAACTCAATTACTCTTTCAAGGTTAACTTTAAACAGATTTTCATCCAAACTTCGACTCCTCACTGCCCAGGAAGCAACAGAATTCAACGGAGGAAAAATGGACACTTCCACAGTGTGCCATAATAGTATGAATCAAAGTAACCTTCAGCATCCCTCCAAAGTTCCATTCAGCGCTGCGTCGACCTCTACTGACCTTCACCCTGGCGATGACCCCTGTCCGCTGCCTGTCAAAGCCATACTTCCGCGTGCTTCCCTGCAACAGGGACGCTTCGTCGTCTGCTGTCCATGGCGTCTGTTCCACCTGCCAGTCAAACTCTTCGTCTGGCGCATCGCCAGCCGTCAGGCCTGCTTCTTCGTTTCCTGCGAAGTTTCAGGGCCCCTTTACACTTTCAGGGTTCTCCTGACCATAACCTCCTTCTAACGCAATTAAAACTTTGGTCCCATGCCTTCGGACGAAAACCTGGGTTAGAAAACATCAATTCTTTCACCTTTTTCTGACCAGAACAAAATGTTAATTTGCATGTTTCATCACTGTAAGTCATGCAATGTTGTTTGATATATTCAGTCATGCGATGTATGGCTCTATTTGTGAGCAGTTGTATATCGCATAAATTATTATTATTTTTATTTTTTTGCAGGTGGTGTTTAAAGGTTTCTCATAAAATTCGACATGCTGTATCATTATGTTCTCACTGCCTTTGGCTGCATTGCCTTGAAATAGAGGTTTATTGGTTACACATCAGACAAGGCATGAATTGATAAAACCCAGACTTACCGATCTAACTACGTAATCTGTAATGTCCAAAAGTGGATTGTCAAGTTGTTTGAATAAAGAAATAAATATTTAAAATAAAATTATGACAAGCTATACATCTCAGTACACATAATGGTGGAATAAAATTTTAGAAAATAAACTTCATATGAAAAAAAAATAAATGTACAGTGAATGACAGCTCCAATACTCGGAAAACACTACAAAAGCTGCAATGCAATGGTTCATCCACACACATAATCTTCAGAAGCCTGATAAGATTGAGCAGCTACATCCTGGTACTAATAGTCGCATCTCCAACACTCATACATTTCACACCGAACGCTTTCCCCCGTTTCTCCCAAGATGCCACAATACACGACAAGAAGCTGCAGTACTGACATTAAAAGTTAAGTTTCCAACGTACACACAGGCTGCTCGACGTTTCACCAAAAAGATAACACACAACAAAATTTAGAAAAAGTAGGACGCAGCACTTCCCAGAAAACGCAAAAATGGCGAGGCAACCGCGGAGACTTTGTCGGTGAAGCAAAAATCCCGCAAAAAAAGAAGACACCACAGTCTGCAGCCAATGAAATTGTGGCGTTAGCCGATACGAATGCTGAAGAGCGAATCACGAAGCGTGAACACAGTAAGTCATGGCCCGCGTTTTTCAAGCCATCGGCGAATAAGGAAGTGGAACTTCAAACATATGCAAATTACTCAGTTTTCTGAATAAAAATTCTAGACAAAATAAAAAGGGAAACTGAAAACAAGGTTTACCGACAACTTCAATCAGAGGCGTCGAAGTGGACGGCTTTGGATTTGGAGCCAGGAGCTTTGTCAAGAGGTCAAGGCCCGTGAAGACCTCGCCAGGATATTGCTTGGGCATGTTGATGACAAAGGTACCTGCCAGTGCAAGAACATAAACAACCCAATCCTCCTTTTCCGATGGTAACAACAATGACGCCTGCGCAACATATTTACAAAACAATCGCTTCACGTGAGACAGCCCTCGAAGAAACTAATAATCGAGTGAAAACAAAACCGGTAAGTTTCCAATTGCGAACGACAAATTATCATACGAGACAACCGACCAAGCGAGAGTAGCACCGACGGCCCTGTGACGATTAGGACACTCAAAGAATGAGGACGTGCAACTCGTGTCGTGAAAATGCGCTCGGAGAGTTCTACTGTGAAAAGTGTCCGATATCATTTCACCCGCAAAACTGGCTTTTGAGAATGGGTTTGTTACGCAGTCGTAAACCGGTCCGCTTTTCCCAGGTCGTGTTGCAGTCACTAGCTCCGATGAATAAAAGGAAAACTTACTTCAATGTTTGGTTGTAGCTTTTTGAAGACAGGGCAAGGTTATGAAAGAGTCAGAACTTATACATTAGATGTTTAGACAACGTGAGATTGGTCTGCCCTTGTGATATGGGAACACTGGTTCAAGGCATAGATGAGAAATTAACGCCAGTTCGGTACGGCTACTAGTCCGGGGTCTTTGGCATGCATCGTGCAGCAGTGACATGCGACCACACGCCAGTTGACGCTCGTCGAGATTGAAGTGGGCAGGAATGGAAATCGCATACAGGATCCCTGGGTTCAGCAGTGCGAGCTTTTGGTCCATGTGTTTCGAGCTGTGCTGCACAAACGCAGTCGGCTACCTGTTGCCCTACGAATGAATTAGTGTCCGAGAAATGACCATTTAGCGTTCTCTTTCCAGGTCTTGTTTCTTTTCGCTCTCCTACCCGGTGATTATGATTAGGGATGTTGCAAACTTTTGGCGAACCTTTGAACTTTTGGCAAATGCGACAAAGTTTGACTCATGAACAGTGTGGCCCGACCTCTTTTTTAGAAGTTTTGGGTTGTGGAGAACGAACAATTTGTGAAGTTTAATAATCAATGCACTTTTAAAGCTGTAATTGCCTTAGTAATATTAGACAAAAAAATAATACATCCAACAAATGTTGCACTTTTCCTCCAACAGGCGGCATCGGCTCGTTTATAAATTCTTGCACATGCGCACATAAGTTAAACTTCAGTCTACCCCGCTCCTAACTTCGCGTTGGGAGTTACAAAACATCAAACCTGGTCGAACTCGAGCCTGCGCAGGTTCCCAACATCCCTAATTATGATGAAGACGATGACAAATATTATGATGATAAGGATGATTATAATAAATATGACAATAATGATAGCGTTACTGGGCCTGCTGATCACATTTACAGCTGACTGCACCAACAGATATGGAAGACAGAATGCGAAATGCGCAGAAGTCGGACAAACCATTGTCAGTCTCATACTTTGCCGACTCGTTCCCATTCTCGATCACCTTTCCAGGAAGGTTTAACCTGCGTAAAAAAAATAAACAAATATTATTTAACAAAAAAAAAAAAAGGTTATATTTTTTTCACGTAGCTTTGTTATTGTTGCCGCTTTGTTGTTGTTTTTCGGTGGTCGTTACCTGAGGTAGTAGGGCTTCGAGTAGAACTTGAAGTCTTCGTCATGAAAGTATATTTCGGCGTCCGAAATCTGAACAATGGAAAATCATGGCGTTACACCACGGGTAGTACCTCCTCCAATCAAGGCGGTCGGCAAGTCAAGCTCCTCAGCCAACTGTAATATTACTCTACGGTTAAGCGATATCACACCGGAGATCTTACCTTAGAATACGGTGCTTTGATCTCAATGATGAGAAAGGAGTTGTCTTGTCGGAGCTCGAATGCTGGAGTCAACATCTTTTTTTTTAAGAATCGAGGTCAACCTTAGAGGAAAGTTGTAAAACGATAGCAAACTCTTAGGTGCGAGCTACCGTAAAAGACTTTTAGCTGAGATCGGTGGCATGCTTCAAGCGTCGCTATTTGGCATCTGCAATTTTGCGCGGGCGAACTCCTACAAGTTGATATTACACGTGCCGCAAATCATTCTTCATGTTTACACTTTTTCCACGGAAGTGGATTGAGTTGGCTACTGTTGACTTTCGTTGGAATTAAAATAGTACTTGCTTTCAGTGTTGCCTGTTAGTTTTTCAGGAAACAACCAACATTAGCGATTTTATAAAACTGTCGGCGCGATTCGTTATTTGATTGCAGTTGAACAAAATTTCGCTTTATTTTTAAAATTTAACTCATTTAAAAGTTAACATTTTTATTAACAATGGCGTATAAAAAGATAAAATAGGTTTTCTCTGCGCTGTTCTAAACGTTCCCCAGGTTCCCCGCCAGGCGGCCCCTCGTTCTTTCTTTTCGGTCGGGAACTCACGTACGGCACGAAAGGTATGTCGGTTTCGAACAAAATCCTAATTAATCGGCCATTTCTGAGGGTTTGAATGTGTGATTTATTTGCTAATATCTAAATACATTGCCTCGCGTCTCGTCGGCTATTGTTATTCCGGGGAGTAAAGGTGTTGATGGCTTCAGAATTCGGCACGATTTCAACTGTTCGCGACAGTTCGTATCGTCCGTACAGAATTTTCGCGTGATGGGTGAATTGTATTAGCTTAAACACATAAAGCTTTGTGGATTACCCGTACCAGACATCCTTGTCTAACACCACGAGCGCATTGTCTGTTACTGTAGCTAACAGACCATCAAGCGTCTGCTGTCCATGTTTCTCTGTTTGGTGCTGACATGCGTTACATAAAATAGTTATTTAGACCATTAAAGCCATGCTTCCAAGATGCACCACACATCTGTCACATATAAGCGTCAAAAGCTTTGATTGGTTGCTCATCAAACTTTGAGTTTGTATTAACATTCTTGATTAGAGTATCACAATTTTGTCTGTTCCTTTGCAGTGTTTTACATGCATGCAAAATGGTACTGGTATGCGTGGCTAGTATAAAAGGTAGCATTCAAATTGGCTAGCATTTTGTGGCCATCTTCCCTCTCCAGAACTCGGCCAATCAGAGTTTCCCCATCTGCTTCGACAGCCTTATTTCTCCCGATTGCCCCTATTTCCTTTTTCCTACCGGCATCGCTCACCACCGCCACCAACTGAAGAATAATACTGCGCCCTAGTTAAGTTCCGGCATTTTCCCTGTCCGCACCTAAAAAGTGTCCTCGGTCATTCTCTGGAAACTAGCTGGAGTGACCGAACAAAACGGGTGCCACAGCAATGCTCATTTTATTAGGCGTTCCCGCTGGCAGACCACTTCTTTTGCCGGCGGGGTCAAGAAGTGCCAACAATCCGTTTTCGTCATTGACGAGTTTACCTGCCTTTGCTCTGCACGCAACCGTTTCAGTTCGCCTCTCTCCACAGTCGCATAATTGTCGGTTTTCTGGCATCTTGTGTCCAGGAGCCGTGAGTCTGACGACGAAGCCATGGCAAAGACCAAGAACCACACCAACCACAATCAGAGTGAGCCCCTTTTGCGGCCGCAGCCCTGCCCCACCGCGAAGGCGTTGGGTCGCTGTACTTCCCTGTGAACGTCGCAGTGTTCGCGCAAGAAACAACATTGCCTTGTTTTCTTTCGGGCCATGGCGTCCCTCTATAGAAGTGTCGGTTCTTGTTGCAACGGTTTTCTTGCTCTGCACCTAAAAAGTGTCCTCATCTGTTCCCAACACAGGAATTGGGTGAACAAAACGGGTGCCATAACAAATGCGTACACTGTTAGGCGTTCCTGCTGGCGATGCACTTCTTGCCTGCGGGGTCGACGGGTGCCAACATTAAAATGCCTTCAAAAACTTTTTTTCTAAATTTAGCTTGGAAGTACAAAATTTGAGTAAATCTTTTTGAAGAAACAAACTCCAAAGCATGCCTTGAGCCGCGGGCACACCGCCAATGCATTGTACAGAAACACTGTTTGAGGCGCGTTTCTTCCTTTGCATGACGGCATTTTCACATTGGTTACACAAAACTGTCTACAGACAAATTTGAAGCATACATACGCATAAAGCAAACGTGCTTCGAACGTGCTCGAGGCGTGTACGGAGATAATTTACTCGTCATGTCTGCAGCGAACACTGTCGTATGATGTATTGGCAGTGTGACCGAGACTGACAGTGCTAGCTTACCGTATGGGTGTTGTTATATGAGCACCCCAATGTTGGGGAACTTTGGTCGTGTTCCAGCATTTCCTTGACCTCGCTCGAGGGTAAAAATTTTGTACCTTAGTGTTAGAAAACCTAGTCGCGTCCATCGACGTTCTATTCGTGTTATAACATGAACTTGACCTGCAAGATCAACTCGTATTTACTCAATCGAGAATTTAAAACTCGGGCTTTGCGAGTGAATGTTACTCTGTTTCATGCTTTGGCACGACCGAACTGAAGCATCTGTTTAATTCTATGAATGACAATTCTGCTGTGATCGCACATATATTGAGAACCAAAACACTCCACTTCGTTGTTGGTTTTTTTGCGATGTTTTGTTGGCGATTCTTTTGTGCCTGACGTTGTATTTGCCTTTCAGACCGCAAGGACCACAGGAACGGCATCAAGCGGCCAAAGAAGGGCTGCCACCTGTCCATGCGTGGCGTAAGTTGGCTTCCACTATGTCGCGTGGTGATGCAGTAGTATCAAGTCTGCTCAGTGTGCCCAAGTCATTGATGACGGGTTTGAGATTTTACTCGGGAATAGACAGTAGAACGTATTCGCTCGACTATACAAATGTGCCACATTGGTCTTGGGTACTTCTCTCCTCGGTTCGTATCTTCTTCTTTTTTTTTTATGCACTGTGTTTATACTTTTCTTGTTCGAATTCGGCTGGTAGCATTGCGTGACGAATATAAGAAGTAATGCTTTATTTCATTGTAGGACACAAAACTGACAGCACTTAATTGGATTAGCCTGCAGCTACTCGCATAGCAAGCAAATGTTGAGACTTGACATTTTTGACGCTGTTTGATCAATTCTATCGACTGGTAGTGTCTGCTGCACTCCGTTAACGTGATACGAAGTATGTCATGTTTCCACCAGGATGACTGTGTTTTGCCAAAGATTGTGCCCCCGAAGTTTGTAACCGTTTTTTTTTTGCATCCATTTTGTAGGATGTTGCCACTGCGATGCACCTTGGTAGCTTTCAGTAAGTTCACGTAAAAGTGTAAGAATAGCTCTTCGGAAAGAATGTGGTGATAGCTCTGCCTGATGAGGGAGTTTCAATGAGTTGTTTTGATGCTAGCCATTTGTCCCCAAACAATTCGCCATCACCAATGCTCGCAAATTGTTCGGGACTTTGAGAAAATGGAGGTTAAAGGGACCATGAAATTACTTTTTTACTTTTTCCAGATAACTTTTACAATAAACCGTCAATGTTCACTGAATGCCGAACAGGCATCCGTTTTCGTCTCGGTTTATTAACTTCTACGCAAAAAATTAATGAAATATCGACTTTTTCTTGACCGCAAAACAAGCCGTGACGTACGATGTTTCCGGAACCGGAAGTTCTCTCGGAAGTAGGAGATGGGAGCGTTAGCGAGTTGGGGTGCGCCGGTGGGTTTTACTGCGCCGATGTCACCGACGTATTTTCTGAATCGGCGCCTCTCATCGCCGCATCGCAGCTGAGCGAAATTCAATGAGATACGTTGCGCTACAGCGACAGCATGGGACTAGTCCCATACGCCGGTATGCCTGTTGGGAAGTGCAGATGAAAACAAATTGCCGCGGCGTTTTTCGCGGTCTCGGAGATGCAGGAGCGAGCCGACGTTAAAAAAGATACGTTTTAACTACGAGTGTCAGCAAGAGCCACGTAAATACCTGTTCACACTCGGAGCGGACGCGCGCGTTTGATGAAGTGCTGTATTCGTGCTGTTGGTAAGCGCTTCGGGACCGATCTTTTACGATTGCAACTCGATACTGACGCGACACTCGGCAAAGAAAGGTTGGGCCGGTATTGCACGTATACCTCCCACGAACTGTTACAGCTCGACAGTGACGTGCAGTCTGTCAGAATAAAAATGGCGTACCAATAACAAAGGGTACATACCGTGCTACGAAGGTAATCCATACAGCGTTTATTTCAGCTCTATATCACACAAAACAAGGAGATGATCGACGAGGGTCCCTTTTCGACGAGTGTTCGTCAACACTGCCTCGGAAAACAAGGGGAAGAGATTGACCTCACTCTTAACCTAAAATTGAGGTCAGCGATCAAACTATAATACGGAAGGGTCCACAAGGGTAGCGCGGGCATATTCCATTCAGTACGCCAGCCGGTCGTAGGCAGACAGACGGTCTTGCGACGAAGCAACGCTGCGCCGAGTCGGAGTGCCTGCTAGGCCTATATTCTGAGAGCTTCGTCGGAGCGGGATTCGCGGCTGTTGTCGCTCTTCTCGGGTGTTTGTGGATCCAGCGTTCTTGTTCGTCGTGGTTTGTTTTAGGTACATTTTTTTCTTGCTGCTTGAAGTCGGCACGCGCGAGATGAACACATAGAAAAATAAACGTTCAGTCAGTCAGAGTTTTGAGAGGAAGGAAACCAAAGGAAATAACCGTTCTTATGTCGGCCCTGCCCTACTGCGCACGCGCAGTAGTTGCTTCGTTTACCACACGATAGATGGCGCTTGGCTCTCAGCATTATCAAATTTGGCAATTTTCGCCACACATCTCTAATTATGCTACAAAATGTGGATCTGAATATTATTTAACAAAGCTTTTAGGAAACATTCGCCGGCTATTTATTGTTTACGATCGCGGTGCTGGTGAGTTAGGCTCTTACCCAATAGGCGACCTGGATTTGGCTGACGTGCTCCATTTCCGCGGATGCATCGTAGTGAACAGGCGAAGGAAGGAAGGCGCAAAAGAGTCCAGTTTTCTTTTAAAAGTTCTATAGCAAATAATTTTTTTTGGCTCCTTAGTTTTGTGTTTTTGTGTTTCTTTTCACACCTTTTACGACGTGCGGTGGATGAAATTCGATTTTAAAATCATTTCATGGTCCCTTTAAATGAGTCGTTTCGAAACGACCGATTGGACCCCCAGAGTAACTTGGGAAGGGTTCAGCTGAATTATGATTTGCGAAACAGGGCAGATGGAACTGGACAAGCTTCGCCGAGTGGTGGAAGTCTTATCTGAGGCGGTCCAAAGAGACTGCTGTGGTTTGGTTTAAAGTGAATATTCGTTCATCTACGAGACATTTGCCGAAGTCCCTGCCAGTAGCTAAAATTCGAAAAAATGGAGTTTGGATCTTGTCACTGACTCAAAAGCGGTTCAGTCACCATGCGGAAACTTGGTCAACTTAAAAGTTGCGCCGACTGAAAATGCAACACTACGGCGTACGCAAAGAACACCTCAAGCTTGGAAATCTTTAGGTTATGGCACTCACTTCAAAGCATTGGCATGTGCTTCTCAAAGTGCATGTCTGGCGGTGTTGAACGATAATTTTCAAAGCTCTCAAAGGGATGCATTTCATTTAAAATTTAGTTTGTACAGTCGAATCTCCTTAATTCAAACTTGTGGATATTTCAAGCTAACATGCGGGTCCCATCCTACGCGTCTCTAAGGGAGGAAACTCCCGGTAATTCAGACATTGGTTTATTCAAACAAATTTTCTCTCCCCCTCGAGCACGAATTAGCAAGATTTAACTTTCAAAAAGTTTTTTATATATATATATATATATATATATATATATATATATATATATATATATATATATATATATGACAGAGCAAAACAATCACAACAAACTAAGTAATGACCTCCAAATCAGTATTTTACCAGTTTTCTTTTTGCGTTTATTGAAATAATTCGCCTGGAATCTGTCGTGTGATGGCGGCTGCAGTGCGCCGTCGGTCGGAGGAGGCCAAATGCACGAGAATTTAGGTGGCGAACCTGGACGGCATATGCAGATGCGCCGGCAAATCATTCATAGACAAACCTTTTGCTTCGAAATAGTGCCTCAGCTTTGTTGGACCGCCTTGAGGTGTGCATTCCACCACTCTTCCAAGCTCGTCTTCGAAAGTCTTCCTCTTTCACGCTAGTTCGTGCACGGCAAATCGTTATGATTAGGTCGAACCGTGCTGACCTCCCGTGCCATTTGCGTGCGCATGCACTGAGGCTGAATGGCGCATTGAGCAAACGGGTATGGAGCCGCCGGAAATAAGCGCGTGACAGGCTTTTTAACTTTCCCGTGTGCTGGTCTGAATGGCCTTCAGCTGGAGTTCTTCTCGTTACTTGAGAGAGCCCGCTTGTTGCACTGGAGCAGCGCACGCAGACGGGAGAAGTTCCTGGCTAGCCATTGTGTGTGAAAATTTCGAGATTCTAGTTAATTGAGCGTGCATACGTCCTACATTTCAAATGCCTTTTTAGCGAGATTTAATTAGAAACGGGACTATTAAAGCCAACTCAGACACAAGAAAGCATGAACTAAAACATCAATCGAATGCACTAGGAAGCCCAGCAGACGCCAGACTTCCGGGACGAGCATCGAACTTCCTGCTGCTTCACCCGCGCCGGGCTTGGAGAGCAGCTACGCGCCGTCCAGTCCTCTATAGCGAGGATCGGCGGCACATTTGCGTCGGCGAATTGGTCGAGGACGACAGTTTGCCTCAAAAAGACTAAAACCCCTTATTAACAGACCACATTTTGTCGGCAGTCCCTCTCCGTTTTAGGCGACCTTTTGCTGCCAATAACTGACAGCATGTGTAACCAATGAGATGACAGCTTTGGCCAATAAAAAAAGCCTAAGAGTGACGCAAGAAGAGTGCGTAACAAGCCGCACCCCGCATTCCCTAAGCTGTTAGTGAATAGAAATAGACAAAAGCCCGCGCGTCGCAGCGACGGTCTTGGTCGGCCAAACTTGGGAGGGGGTGTCAACGCGCTACAGTTGCGTGCGCGGCGTGACCCCAAAGGCCCGTCTGACGGTTCTCGTGGCTCCCACAGGTTGACCCCAAGTTCCTCAAGAACCTTCGGTTTTCCCGGAAACACAACAGGAAGGGGCTGAAGAAGATGCGCGCCAACGAAGCCGCCCAGCTCCAGGCCAAGGTTGCCGCCGCCGCCGCCACCGCCTCCACGTAGTTAATAAAGGACCTGCGAACGTGCCTCCGGACTCTGCTCAGTTTTGTTGCAGTGCCTAGAACACGACTCCATGTTTGGCATGTTTTGTGCCCTCAGTTTCTGGCCGGCGGCATCAAATGGAACGATCTCACCAGTCGGCTAGGCCACCAATCCTGCGCGATGCGTCGAGGAAACTAAAGTTACTCCTCGACGCATCGCAGGAGTAACTTTGCCGTTAGGAGTATGGGAATGTAGGACCTCTTGTACGCAGAAGTTATGGCAGCATCACGCGTGCACCTAAAGCTCTGGGAAATTGAGACGATGGCAACATGGGTACAGTGCCAAGATTGCAGCAACCCGAGTAGCAGTTCCTGGTATGTATGTTACTGTCTCCGAAGCTTCAATGCATGAATGGCAGAGGATGCTAAACATGCCAGTCTGAAATGCAGTCCGGGCATCGTGGTTTCATGCAGACTTTTATGGTACTCGTTACAAGCATTGCTTGTAATTTATTGTTTTAGTAATTTTGTTATCCCTCGATTATATTTATTAGGAAGTAATGACATTAGTAATTGATTACGTTTGGAAGTATACTGAAATTACTGGTAACCGTTACTTGTTTTCACCCTCCCGTTGCTAATGGTGCACTTCGTACAAGTTTCCATACTGCGGAATCCTCAAACCAAATCTCCCAAGACGAGTATGGTTTACCAATATTGGTGGATTAAGAAAAGTAGTTAATGATTCTGTGATTCTAATCAATAATAGACGGGACAAAAGGTCCATTTTCAGACGGAGAGAAAACTTGAAAATCCAAAGTGATCCGAGAGGTAACTTACTTTTTCAAGTCGCAGCCCAGTACTTTTCGTGTTCGAGCAATCGAGTAATATAATGCGGAGGGCAAGTTCGTCTGCTCCTTGCGCAGGGGGTAGCGGTGATGTCAGAATGCCGAGCCCTGATTAGCTGATCGCAACCCCCTATCTGAGCGTCGTCTGCTCCTTTGCAACGTCGTCTGTGTCTGTCTTGCCTTTCCTGCGACTTTCAAAAGTGCAGAGGGTTTACAAAACAATCTTGCGCCAAAAATATGCGTAAAACAAAACTTGAAAACAAATTTGTATTCACGAAACGAAATTTTGAAGTTTTGCGCAGGTTGCCACAAAATCCTACGACAGCTCCGAAGCTGTCTTACGCACTTCTTACGATCAAAACAGCATGGCCGATAGCGTCGCGGTCGCGACGACCAACGGACGTTCATTTTTCTATGTGCGCTTCTCACGCGTCCCGACTTCAAGCAGCAAGAAAAAAGTAAAAAGTACTTGAAACGAACCACGACGAACAAGAACGCTGGATCCACAAACACCCGGGAAAAGCTCCAACGGCCCCGATTCCACCGACAACGACCAAGCGAGCACGGCAGATAGGCCAGCAGGCACTCCAACTCGGCGACCGTCTGCTCACGACCGACTGGCGTGCTGAACGGAATATGCCCGCGCGACCCTTGTGAACCCTTCCCATCTTATACTTTGATCGCTGAGCTTAATTTTAGATTAAGAGGTCAATCTCTTCCTCTTGTCATCTCCTTGTTTTCCGAGGCAACGGTGACTCTCGCCGGTAAAAGCGGTGAATCTCCGACAGACGCAGGAAAGGTAAAGCAGCCATTGCTTTGACTAGCAGACGTAAAGCAGACGACGTTAACCGCGCCAACCCGCCGACGCCGTTAAAGAGTGAGGGTCTCGCCGCGCACGAAAGGAGGGAAAAAGTATTTGGGAGGGAACTTGCAGACACTAACCACCCTCACCCCTCTCGGTTCTTAGCAAACAAACCTCGGCGCCTTGGGACACCTCGCCAGTGAGTACTTTGACTTCCGTCCTTGATGCGCGTCTGCTAGTCGTTAGACAAAAACAACGTACCGCTCGAGTTATTTCGTCTGCCCTCTCTAAAAGGCGAAGTCGAGCTTGCTCGACTTCCGAAAGTCGCAGGAAAAGTAAGACAGACGCAGACGTTGCGAGCAGACGATGCTATGATAGGGGGTCGAAATCAGCCAATCGGGGCTCGGCGTTCTGACGTCACCGCTATTTCCTTTCTCATGCGCAGAAGACGAAAATGAGCCCACTTGCGAGGCGTACTGAATACCTTTTTAAGCGAGAGTAATTGTAATCAATTACCTTTTTAGAGTAACATGTTGGATTTATAGCAGCTGATAGAGTGAGAACGACGGGGCAAATTTTTCTAATGCCCGGCCTCTAGCACGTGCTCCATGCCTCTGGTCGTGCTTTGGTTGCTCGTGCTGGAGTGGGTCAACTCAAGCTCCTCCTTACCCTTCTTGCCTTGCTGAATATAGTCACTTGCAGTCTTGGGAAGTAACGCATTACCGGAAACTAGCTCTCAGTAACTGTAACAGTTGCTATTTTTCAAAAGTAACATCGTTATAGTTTCTTCTCAGATTTATGAGCAAAAATGTTGCAAACATGACCACCAAATCGTTTCGCAACTCGTGAGAGTCCTGGTACAAGAAGGGTACAGCAAAAACTGCTACAGAAAACGTCTGGAGCAGGAGGGACAAAAAAAACTATGAAGACTTTCAAGACTGATAATGTGTCGGAATGCGAAAGCATTCGTATACGTAGCGTATTCCTACAAGCTGCGCACCGCCCCGAGCTCAACCGTGCGGCCTCTCCGGAGTGTGCCCAAGTGGGCTCTGCCGGCTCTGCGGGCGGCCGCTGCGCCTCCATGGAGACAGCTTCTCTGTGGGGTGGCTGCTACAGACTACAACCTTCGCTCCATGGGGCAGGGGAGTTTAGGTGCCGTTTGACGCGACTTCAAAAGCTGATAACGCCGGTTCGCTCCATGGGACAGCTAATGTTTTGCATTAAGAAAAATGTAAAGAAACTAAATTTTGGGTGCCCCTGCTTGGCCAAGTTGACCCCACCAACTGAGGGATGGGAATGTTTGTGTCCGTACCAGCCGTGCATGTTACAGCGCACGCAGATGTGACAAAGTGCGGCATCTCTAAAGCGTTTTTCTTTTCGTCCGGCGAAGGGAGTGAGTGCTTTTGTAGAGAACAGTTTTTGGTGATTGTCACCCCAAACGCACGCAGGCTTACGGCACAACCGATTTTCCGAACTTCCTCTTCTGGCCACCAAGCATATGTTTCTTTCCCCTCTAATTTGAATTGTCCAACTCCCAGATGCACTCTTGCGGCGTCTTGACTTCAGGTCCATTTACTCTCCCTTCTTTGTTTTTACAACCCAATTACCGGCCTTGCCTACCGTCACCCACTTCCCTTCTCAGGCCCCATCACTTTAGAAAAAGTATTCACTCGAAACGCCTGTCTGCGTGTTTTCTTGAAATTCCCTTAGCCGGGACCAGGGGCATTCGGCATCAGTTGATTTATAGATATTGAAGTCGTGGGCTTTCCAGGCGGTCTCTTTCGGGTGGTGAGGTTGAGGAGCACAAGCGTGTTCGATCTGGTTAGCAAGTGGCGGAGAAAAGATCACAACACCCGTTTGGAATTCTACACGCAGTAGTAATTTTTTGACGGAGGAATGTTGCCACAACATTGCTCTTCAGGTTTTCAAGAGAAACTTTGCGTTTCATGAAAGATTGCGCACCGGCACGCAGTAAAAAAATTATTTGACCGTGTGGCATACGAAAACGATTCGGAATGGCATAAGAAATCATCTATAAAGCTGATAGCAAGTACGACTTATATTATTATTGACTTCACATTTGCATGATTTTCTTTGCTTGCGTCCAATTTCGCCGCCTCAAAGAAATCCGAAATTAGAATTGACCGATTGTAAACTGGCACCATGACTGGATATACACGAGATCTGGACGCGTGCTGTTGTGTTCGTGTATACTTTATGGTGGTTGCACTTATCTTGAAGTTCTTCATAGACCAAGAGCCCTAAACTCGTCAAACACAAAGTTGGAGCCGAAAGTTTGTGGAGCGCGCTGATTGGACGTTGGCGACAAAAACGCCAAGTCATCGTCGTGATAGTCCAATCGGTGCGCTCCGTGAACTTCGGCCCGAACTTTGTGTTTGACGAGTTTAGGGCCCCAAGTATCTGCTACGTTAAAATTTTAAAAAACTATAGTCGCCTGTAATTTTTTTAAAAGAAGAGACTCTAAATTCTTTATCATATAGTGGATTTACTCGAATACTGCCTTAAATTATGATCTTGTTCAAAGCTTCTCATGGTAAAAATTGAAATAGGAAGAACCAAATATGTTAATATTGATTATTAAGAAAATCTTAGTTTCTCAAAATAATCAGATTCACTACCGTGAACAACACAATGAAGAAATCTATCTTGATTTATAGGCATACCGTAAAATCTCAAGAGGTCTTAAGAGCAAATTGGGTGAAAATATGGAGTGGAGTAACTTTCGATGTACAATCAAGAAAAGTAAAAAAGAAGTGGCCATTTTTAGGTAATGTCCCTTCCAAGCTTGTTATGGTGGCGAGGGGCAATGAAGCAAAGATGATTACTTCCCAGTCAGCAATGTTCGCTTATATCCCATCATATAGCTAACTAGTCGCATTTACGCCGAGACCATCAATGATCCCAACGCTACTATTACTAGGGGTGGGCTATCTTTCGGTTTTTAAAAAAAATATAGCAAATTAAACCAAAAATAGGGGGTGAGGCATCTCGGGATTTTACCGTGTTATGAAAGGTTCCTTTTTTATGTTTTCTAATGCTTTTTTGTAAAGTAATGACAGAGTAACAGCGTTACTTTAGCAAAGTAACTAACAAGTTACCATTTCAATTTTGTAACTAACTGTAACAAGGTGTAGTTTTGCCTGAGTAACTGTAACTGTAACACTTGCTTTGTAGCAATAACGTGCCCATGACTGGTCAGTTGCACATCAGGAAGCATCTCGTGCAGTCCAGCGGGGGCTTCAGGAAACGAGAAAAGAGGAGGCACCCTTTTATTTTTTGGCATTGGGTCGCGATGTCAGGAGCTGCGGGCAAAGACGAGCGAAGTGACGGAGTTCCCCTGGCTCCCGCCAAACACAAACGACGGGGTTGGGATGCCGTCGCACAGCGACAGGACTGTAAGGAAGATCAAAGGAGGAAAGTGTCATTATGCTAGGCATTGATCAGCATTAAAGTTAGCTCTTCTAACCTCTCATCGACATTTAGGTTATGTCCTAAACCCAGAACTACTGTATTTCTTGTTTATTTTAGAGCGCAGCTCTTAGGCGCCCGTTTCCAGCTTGAGCGACGTCGGTGTAACCGCGCAGTGCATTATGGGAAATGTCCCATAATGCGCTGCGCGGTCACAGGACCCTTGCGCGGTGTATTATGGAACACTTCCCATAATGCACCGCGCGGGGGTCACGTGACCCTACTGACATCACCAGGGTCACGTGACCTCACGGGGGTCACATGATACCGCCAGGATCACGTGACGCCACCAGGGCATGGACCTTACAAGGGTCACATGACATCACCAGGGTCACATGACGTCACGTGATGCCAGGGAAAAGCGAGGAGGGCAGAGGGGGAAAGGGTATGGATGAGGAGGAGAGGCATACTGTCCCCTCCATACCCTCCTCTCCTCCTCCTCAAGAGCTGCGCTCTAATTCGGTGTTACAGGAAGTTGTAAACTTCTTTCACTTTTTTTCTTTATCATGATATAGAGAACCTTGTTTTGATGGTGTCAAGAAACTACCACTCTGGATGAGGCGCTTAGTTGGGTAAAACTGGAACTGCTCACTGTGGGCCGAAGCCGAGTATTCCAAGGATTCATCTCACCATCGCGATGAACCAGCCCTTGGTTGCCACTTGGTGGGTGTACGGCCCTCACCAAGTAGCAAACATCTGTTTAAGATCTAATAAGTACTCTTCATCAAATTGGTAGTTTTGAAGATAGCAATTCAATTATTCGACGCACACTGGTGAGAGGTGGTGATGGTTTTTTTAAACACCGGAACAGCGCACTTCTAGTAATGGCAGGGACCTGGCCAATGGTGACCTCGGCAGAAATGCCGTTACTTAGCCACGACCGGAAATAAGCAAATGCTGCGGCCACTGTGCTTGACGACACCGAACAAATAGACGACCAAACGCTATTGCTAGCCATCTCGATGGGCTGTTTCAATGGTTTCCAACACTGCGAAGCCTCACTCGAGACAACTGCGTTGGTGTCCGTCTTCTGACGCACGAGACAGGGCACCAAGATTTACTTCAGTGTCGTATGAAGCACGAAACGCATGCGCGTCAGAACTGTCTGATCTGACGTGCGAACTGTCGGAAAGATGGTTGCTTGACTCGACAGTTCGAGAAACATGCTTCCGACGCGTCGTTCTGTTCAGTTCTGCCCAGTTCCAAGTCTCCTACCGGGTGGATCGATGGATGCTAATGGCTGTATTTGTAACCAGTGGTAGCTTGCGCCACCTTGTTTGAAAACCAAAAATAGTCTTCCTCCCCTCGCCCTTCATGGTTTTTTCGGACTTTAGAACAAACAAAATATTTTTAATATATTCCATTAAAGTGTACATGTTTGAAGGTCTTACGTGAGGTTACTTTTTTGCTGGTCACAGCGAAGTGAGCAGTGCGTACGCAAATCACGTCGCTATGCACCCTGTACATTACTGCCTCTCTCCCGAACTTCACGCGACACGGCGTTGGAATGGCTCGTAGCGTCCGCTGCTGTCTGTCGTAAGGTGAAACGAAGTATATTTGTGTCTCAACGGTCTTGATCGGTCTCAAAAGTCCGACTTGCTATGGACGCGCGAAATCGGCAGCTCGTGTGGTGCACGTGGAAAAACTCCATGGTGTCTGTCCATTGCCTGCACCACCACGACTCGAGTTGCATGACGCTCCACTACGTCCGCTTCCCCGGCCCCCTAGCACCTCCCGATCGCTCCGATAGCCACGTGACAACATGACGTTCGCAACACCCGTGCTGCCATTGGCTGTGGCCCTCCGACAATCGGACAGCCGTGCAATGAATATCTGGCAAATTCGTCGCATGCCGGAGTCGGGCGGAGCCCCCGTCCGACGCTCCAGTGCAACGAGAACTCCCGCGTCTGACAGTTTGCACATCAAATCAGACAGTTTTGATGTGCATGTGTCTCGCGCTTTAAACAATGCTTGTGCAAGATTTTTAAAAAAGGGGCACCTGGTGCAAAGTGGCTCAGCAGCTCATCACGAGTCCAGTTGCACGACACGATCACGAGCCGGCCATTAACCGGAAGGAGGCGTGCCACCAGCTCCAGGTAGCGCTGCCGTTTCGCTGCAGGTTCATCCGGCGACAGGCTGATGGCATCGTAAGTTCCTGGCAGCAGACAACAGTCATTGGTAGACTGGCGAGCAAGCTTGGTGAGGTACACTTGAGCCATTAAACGTCTCCAGAGCACGGAAACTTTCGCTTTGTTTCACAACTGCATGGTGGCACTGCAGTCAATAGTTTCAATATGGTGGCCCTACGTAAACTACTTGGGGCAGGCCGGGCTGGCAAGGTCTGCTCATCAACGGAGTAGATCAAGGTGTCTCGATCTTGAGGAACTCCCATCTGGCTTAAATAGCAGCCAAGGAGCCCTTTACTGTCTAGGCATTGATACATTAAAGCAGTGCAAAAGCATATACAGACCTTGTAAAAAAATAATGCACATACTAGACAGTGTTTGGCTCATAGTAATTCATCGGAGAGTGACTCAGATCTGCTAAAATACACACACTTTATTTAGGGGCAGGAAATCTGAGAATGCTTGGACATGGCCTCAGAGATTTTTCTCGTGCTGCCTGTGCTCTTCTCCTCAGACCATTGCATTCACGTGGTACAGACTATCATTGCGCGGTGCTTCGTGGGACTTGCAACCAAGCCAAACGATAGAAAGAAATAGATGTGAATTATTATCATCACCATTATCGTCGGTCTTATGGGACTTAAAAGAGCAGCGCAAAATGTGCTCCTTACTTCTCACCTCAACACGCAGATCTTTGGCAAGAAAGAAGTTGACTGAAATTTGAAGGTTCATCTTTTCAAAGCACAAAAGGTGTGGAACAAATGCCCATGATGTTGTTTTCAAACCAACTGCGTGTCTGCATACTGGAAGTCAATCAAAATAAGGAAGGCAAGTCACAATATAGATTCACACTAAATAGTGATAGTGATAGGAGAGCAGCGGCTCCGCAGAAAGGCGAGTCGCCCATACCATGAATGCCCATGGCACCACGTCCAACAACGATGAGATGGTATTGCACATAAAATTTTTTAAAAGAAATGGTGATGATGGCTTAAATGGAGCTTGTGGACGAGGGTGAGGGGTTGACGTTGCAAGTGAAGAGGGTGCAGAGCATTAGGCTTGCAGCGGTCTTCGCGATAATGGTCTTCGGGGGGCCGCCATGGGTTGCTGTCTTTTAACAAACCAGTCTCGAACGCCTGGCGAGGGCTCCCTGCATGCACGACTTGCAGAAGAGCCGCCCGAATTTCCAGCGACGCAGAGAGTCCGGCACCCCCGTGGTGGGGCTTCAGGGGTCGGCGCCAGTGCTGGCCGGTCGGCAGTCTTCGCAAAAGTGGGCGCTGAAGTCCCCCGCTTGCAGTAGAGCTTGTAACCAAGCAGTCTGACCACCCCGTCAATCGAACGATCGAAGACATGGTGTGTGTGACTCTGGTCCGGCAGGCTCTCTGACGATGGGAAAACAGGTCTTGCGCCCAGCTGGGGGGCTATGTTCGACAAACGTTTCGTTTCTCCTAAAAAGAGACGGAAGTGACGATATCGCGTCTGACTGGTTAGGGGCTCAAATGACGAAAGTTCCTCTTGCGTCATTTGAGCCTCTCACCAATTAAACGCGATATTGTCACTTCCGTTTCTTTTTAGCGGAAACGAAACATTTGTGGAACATAGCACCCCTGGGTTCCTTTTTTTCCGATCTTGCATCCTGAGGTATCATCCAGCGAAACAGCGCAAAGACCAGAGCAGCGAATAAAAATTATGAATCAACAGAGATCGACTTATTTTTCTCTATTCTGATGATGAGAACAATGAAGATGCAAGCTTCATGCCACGGGCTCACATTTGACAGCGTGATTTGAGGCGATTCTGTTCCCGTTTCTGGTTTGGTTCTAAGCGCTGCATGCGGAGGTATAGAGAACTGGCTCGGCTCGCTTTTTCTGCTAGGCCGCCGAGCGTTTAGACAGGTTTGAGCAGAGTGCACAAAAAATCTCGGAGGCCTTGGGTCGGACAATTGGCGGTGTGCCACAAACTACAGGTGGAGCTTCTCTAGCTATCATCATCATTGTTTGTGACGTCATTGGTAGGACAGACTGGGACAGACTGCGCAGATCTTGGATAACTCGGCTTGTCAACTCTCTTCATGCGCTGTTCGGGTAACGTGCGGCAAACCCTGTTTCACGCCCTGTTCGGGTGGTAACGTGCGGCAGACCCTGTTTCACAACCAAATGCGCATAATGTGTCATGCGCTTCTCAACGAGCGATTTTCAATTTGTAAACAATTTTAGTGAAAATTGGATGGAACAAATTAATCAATCGCCTGAATTTTCCGGGCCATGTCCGCCAATTTAAGAATTTATGAAAATTTCTGCTTTTCTTTCGAGCAGAAGTTACGATGTGACAAACTTCTTTGCCACATATTCCATGCAAAAGGAGATAAGCGACAGTTGCTGACGAGCATTTGTCAGCAACTGTCGTAGAACACTTTCATAGAAACATCAATATCGGCACATTCAATGAGCTAAAACAAGTGTGCCGCGCTTTGCAACACAACTGTGCACAGCTAAGAAGACAGTATGTCATTTCCTCTGGTGGATGCAAAACCCTTTTGTACCACAGCCTCCACAGATCCAGAAAACCAAAAAACACAAAGGCTGTGAATAGCCCTGATGCACGCCGCGCAAGCTGTAATGTGAAGCTCCATGCTTGTTTTTGAACATTTTATAGTTTTGTCATATAAAAAGTAACTTGGAGGTGCTGTTATTCACTAGAAACATCACTCACAAAAACTTTATACATGTTTTTTTTAATAAATAAACTGTTTTTAATTGACATAGATGAGAACTAACATAGTCGCTCCGTGATTTACCATGGCACCATCGTCTGCTCGCATCCAACTAGCTTCAAGATGGCCGACATCAGCCAATCGGAAGGCTCGAATCACTCGAGTCTCTGATTCGAGCGGGCGCCATGGGATGCAGTACGCCCCGAGAACTTTCGGTGCCTCTAGGCGTGCTCTTGTACATTCGTGCACTATTATTCTTTTCTCGTCGTTGACTTAATTTTCATTTCATTGGTTTTGTCGAAGACGGTGGCATTCGCCCCAAGTTTTTTCATTTTTCGTTTTTAGGATGACGAGATATATCCTGGACTAGGAATAAAGGCTGGTTCCCACACTTGCGACTGTTTACGACCGAGTGTCACACAACCTCTTGCGATCTCTTACGACGAGAGAACACGCTGCCGCCATCTGTCGAGCAGCCGTGGAACACTAGCAGTTTCTGTATATTTTCTCCTTTTTTTTTTCGCACTTCACTTTTTCTGTTTTAATATTCTCTCGATAACGCTATAAGTGACCGTTTCTCATATATAGTACGAACATTTGATTTTGCAAATGCCGCCAAACCTTCGCTTTAGTGAAATGCAGTTCCAGGTGGCGCAGAAAGGATGTGCAGCACGTTATCTCGTCGTAAGAGATCGCAAGAGCTCGGACCTAAGCAAAAGAGAGCGTGTAAATGAGCCTCAACCGAGTAAAATAGAGGGTGCCTTCTCGAGCGATGGCCGGTACTCACCTTTGTCCAGAACCACATCGTAGGTCTTCGACAGGCAGTGCTCGGACGGAAAAGCGTCTTCGAGAATGTCGGCCACCTTCAAAAACGTCAGAAACAGAGAAAAAATTCCGGCTCCTTTGTTACTCCGTTGTGACAAAGGCACAGTAAAGTAAAGCATGTTGCGTGTCAATGCTGCTGGGGGAACTTCCCACACCATCTATGCCTCGACGGCAGGAACGTCGTCGTTCGTAGCATTTCTAAAAGAAAGTCAATGCTACGGCGAGAGTGGAGGAACATGAAGTTTGCGTCTCCCTGTTCCCTTGAAGCACATACAAGTTCCCTTCTTCCTTGCCTCCCACGCACTCTCCCACAATGTGTGCGAGCACGCTCGCTCAACACCGCTCCGTCAAAACACGAGTTCCCACCGAACGGCGAGGAAGTGCTCGTTTGATGCTGTTCTGTTACGAGAGTGTGTTACTGGAAGTGGCTAGGTGCAAGCAATATAACGCAAAACACGTGAAAGGAAAGTGTGTCTCTGGAACACCCCAGAACTTAGTTCGTACGCCCGGAGTCAGCGCCGTGAAAAGCGTGGGGTCTCGACGAGCCAGAAAACGACACGTGGGAAACAGGCCGGCTGCAACCCGAGTCACGTACGAGTATTTTATCCGTTACGACGACGGGCTTGGAGCGACCGAGAATCGAAGAAAAAAAAACCTTGTCAGTGTTAAGGAGTGCCACGGGTGTTTCGCCTATTTCCGCGTGCCTACGTTGGTTGGACCAAGTAACCCAAAAGGTACCAGGATTTGTTTCACGCACCCAGGGTGTCACGTTGCATGTCTGCTTGCGAAGTTGTCAAGCCTTCTGGCAATGCTGACTCGGCCCACGCTCCACGAGAGCACAAACACTTTTTCCTTGACAGAAATAAGAGTGAACTTGCAGGGGAGCTAATGAACTGAATGTAAACCCGAGACTGAGGGACAAGAAGGGGAACGACAGATTCACAGGTCTCAAACTCAGCCGAGTTTGAGACCCACGCGTGCGTCGTGCCCCTTTTCGTTTTTAGGTCTCCAGTTCTCTGGACGTCGAAAGTTTCTTTGTTTGTAATAAACCGCGCCAAGATCACGGTTCATTCCGTCAAATTTAGGTGTCTTGCGGCTCGTCGGAAGCTAGCTAGTTTTCAAATTTGAACTTCCGGTACAGCGGCTTCTGCATGCAAATATTGTGCGACACATTTCTTTCCCACGGTTAGGTTGGCAGTACCTCGAAGGAAATGGCAACATCTTCCTTTGCAGCAAGTTCTTTCGCCAGGTCAACGGCCTTGGTGACGTAATCGACTCCCGTGACAGCGGTGTATCCCTGCTTGGCCTGAAGAGAAATGGAAGGAGTAGGAAGCATAAGAGAGTTTCCCAGACCCTTTACGAAATTCAATGCCATCTGGTGGCTCGAAAGGCACACAATACACTTTAAATTAATAGCAATCATGAAACTATACTTCAAACGGGCATTGTCACTTTCGAACAACAATGGCAGATGAGGATTGGTTCTTCGATCACCTTATAATTATTTCTTGTTATATCTCAGTTTCTATGGTGTACTCTTAAGAACTGCAACAATACAAAGCGGCGACCCATAAGCCTCTCAATAGAATTTCTGCCATTAAAAGGCTTTAGAGCCAAACTGACACCAAGAGATTGATTGGACCACACTCCAAGATGCCGTAAACACTTACGTAGCCATTGTATCTAATTCATGCGCCGTGTTGTAATAATGTCTCAAACATACAGGCAATGTGCATCCTACGCTTGGTAGTACCTTCAACATCTTCCTTCATCAGCCTCAAGAAGGCTGCCATTAATCTGGCACAGATGCCATACACCGAGATGATGATAGTGATCAAAGTTGTCGGACCGAATTTCGAAAAGGGTCCTTAGATTGTTTTTGAAATTCAGTCCAACAACGGCTGCGTAAGCGTTCACGGCATCTTCGAGTGTGGTCCAATCAACCTCTTGGTGCCAATTTGGTTCTAAAGTCCTTTAATGGTGGATATATAATTGAGGGACTCATGCATGTACTTGCGGCAAAGAGAGAGCTTGCCACAACATTCTGCTCGGTACATCCACTTGGTGCCTCGAATATTGTAAGATTAATTTTAGGAATGTGCATACACTGCTTGAGACCGAAAAGTGCAGCGTCATCCCTGGGTTCAACGCAGCAAAGACTGTGTGCTGGTGTGCTGAATTCCAGTAGTAATGCAAAGGCTATGAATGATGCAGCGCCATTCGGTACAAACTATCGTTCGCACACGCCTAACAAGGAAAGCTTTCAATAATTTGTGACTGGTGCTTGCCAATACGTTCCATTCATGGCCTACTTTTTTGTTGTCTAGCATATTTTAGATTTTCGAATATTCAAAAATTACAAATGATGCCTTCAGAATTCTTTAATTTCTCGTGTCAAGCTTACACGCTTTGTACCGGCGCGCACCTCAACCTTCACTGCTCTGCACCGACGCGCTAGGAGAAACGGCTGCGATGGTGGAGCACCTCAGTTCAGTAAGCCCAATTTTCTCACGTAGGACGTGAGATAAACTCCTACTCGAGCCCACTGCTCACGTAAAACGTGAGCAGTGAGCTTAAAGGGTTTTGTTCACGTTCTGTCGCTGTGATTACAAGTTGGCCCCTACTGTTATAGGACAGTGCCATAAAAGAAAACACCAAGCTTTATTCAAATAAATCAGGTACCCATTGTTATGCCTGCCATGTTATATTTAGTTTTACCTGGCTCATATTACCAGGGACTTTTTTTTTTATGTAACAATAAATTCAGCTATGGTTTTTAAAGTATCTTAGCTTGCTTCACATTTCGAATGAAAACAGTGTGGAAAAAAACAGGAAGAGTCAAAGGAACTGGATAGACCAGTCCAGTTTCTTTATTCGTCCTTCGTTTTTTTTTTTTTTTTTTTCGGTTTTTAGTTAAAACCTATCATCAACTAACCCAAGTCTGTACTCTCCTACAGTTGCTTCCATTAAATGAAATTTGATTTGATTCCCAGTCAATTTTTAATACTCATTCAATATGCAGTCAAAGATTTTATATTCGTGCACCTCTAATTAATTTTCCTCTCAATGAATTCATTTCCCAGCCATGAACTTTCCATTTTGCACTTCTCTTTACCTGTGGATGAATTTTAAATATCTTTTTACGAGATCTTACGTCAACTTCACATGACTGAGTGCGCACATGTCAGGCACGGAGCACTGCAATGAATTATGAGTGCATGAAATATTACGGTTACAACGAAATGTAGAACCCAGTATTTTAAAATGCCAGCCTGTGTGCCTTTTTGCTTTTTTTCTTCCTCCGTGGTCAACGATTTTATCACATTAACGACAGCATGTTAAACCTCGCCGAGTCGCACGCACCAACTGGTGAGAGTCGTTAAAAAATGCATGTAAAATAATCTGCACCATTCTTTTTACGCATCCGACTGACGTAGAGCGCACGTCGAGCATCGGCAGACGCAGCTGGCGTGTTAGCTTTTCCCTTACGTAAGATACATATTTGGGGTTTGTGAACCACATTTTCACCAAAAAATAAATAAATATATATATATATATCTTGCTGACAATGGCTGCATGCATTTGCAGCTTTGTGGTAATCGGTCGACATTATTAAGATATCTAGCTGCAGCCCTCCTGTGGCGAAGTGAACTTCGACATGTTACCTTAGTCTAAACGCGTTTTGTTTTTATATTCCCTATTGTCTTTAGGCTTTTCTTCGGGTAATGCTGGGAATAAAACGATGACGGGAGGCAAACACAGAATATCAACGAGTCGTTCGTTTCATGCCTACGCTCTTCCGTGGAAAATTGCACAAAACAAAGTGGCACCTATTTTCTCCACTCTGTTGAAAGAGTCCTGTCAAGCTGGAGCAACTGTTACTTTTTGTCCTATTGTGAGGAGAGGCAAACAGGATGAGGTTTTTTCCAAGATGATGCAAGTCCTTTGCATCGTATCAGTGATTCCAGTGATTCGCTGAGGGGAAATGACAAGGTGCCTGAAACCATTGCTGTTCTTGCAATAACATTAATAACATCGCCGTAATTTCTCCACAACTAAAGAGGCAGTACAGTTAATGTACCTGCATGTTGGGCATTGCCTTTCACAAGTAGCAACAAGGAACGAGTATCGACCAGTGCGCACCTCTGAATGCCGCACTGCGGCACAGCGCACGCGCAGACACTTTGCCCCTCATAACGCTGGTTCCTGCGCACGTGCACTGCCCACACTTTTCTCATTTATAAACAGACAGTTTGTCCATGGTAAAAGGCAAAAAGACTGTACCAGCTGCACTAGGAGATGTCCATTGCCACAGCCCAGGTCAAGGATGCTGCTCGACTTGGTGACGTGCGCCAGAAGCCATTTGACGACGCGGAGCTCGTTGCCAACACCAAACCTGCGAATTCGTAGGGTGGTCCCAAGTGGTAAGAAATGTTTGATCATGGTTCCTGCACTAAAAGTTTCGACGTTGCAGCGATCTTTACATCTGCGGCGACCGACACTTGCCTTCGACTGTGCAAAATCAGCGATATAGGCTGTATGTATGCTTCATTTCATCATATGTTAAAGAACTGTCAAAGAGTATGACACAATTGTGTACAAACAAATTAAAAGCATGTGACATTTACCGGAAAACCGACACATGACCGCATCTTTCGAAAGTGCCAAATGTTGAAATCAGTTACCGAGGTCACCTTACCACACTTCTCCAACGTCGCCATGGTCTGCAAAGTTGTCTAGTTCTTGAACGTATGCTTGCTCCCAACTGCAATGTACATGGGTGCAAAATCGGAATAAAGCCACATCCTACCGAAATCCATGATTTTCGAAATAACTTCTGCCACTTGTTGAAAATAGAGGTTCGAGAGTATTTGGTCCCCTTTGCTTTTCCTCTGTTTCAGGGGCTTAGCCAGGGGAAAGGGGGGGGGGGGGGGGGGGGGCTTATGGGGCTGCAGCTATCCCCCCCCCCCCCCCCCCCCCCGCCGAAATCCAGCTATACACATGCATTTTGACCCCCCCCCCCCCCCCCTCCCCCTCTCTGCACCCCAGGTCATAGACAACCCAGCTCCCTCTCCCCTTCCCTCCTCCTCCTCCTCCTCCTCCTCCTCCCTCCTTCCTTCCTTCCTGCCCGAAAGAAATTCCTGCCTGCGCCACTGCACAAATTTGGGGCCTAGGATAATCTACATTGGGCACAACAGCTACGTCCGGGGAGCTTAATCTAGGCCATTGCAGATTAATGGAGATCTAGTTTCGTTACTTGCAAAGCCGGTAAGGTGGCCGACCGGATACTCTCGGAGCAGTAATTCGGAAAAATGGACCGCGAAACACATGTTCTGTTCGTGACAGATGAATCAGAACTATGTAACAATATTACAATAATCCGAATCAGTCTTCAAAGACTATAGTATGGAGGAGATTAGGGTAACTACGTTCTGAATATTGCTTGCGCAACAAAACAGCCAAAACTCACTATTCTTTGGTTCCAAGTTCAGACGGATTCAACTCCACGCTCTGTTTACTGGGCGCGGCCATATTCGAAATATTTTCAACCTCCTTAACGTTCGTTTATTCCATTGGTGTGATCCGGAGTTACTCCTCACGCCCTTTTTCCGCTTCTTCGCTTCTTCCCAATGTTCCAATGTTCCCAATGCTTTCGCCCCCTAGTTTTCGAATGAGGGTTTTTTATTCTGACAATTCTAGAGTAACAGGGGTTGTTTTGTTTTTTTACGGAAAGTCTCCCTCGTGCCATCTGTTGACAATGCGACGAAGTGCTCACTTTCCCGGTGTCTCGTGTCGTACGTTCCTTGGTCCCGTTATCGGAAGTCTTTTTTTTTTAATTACCTAATTTTTGCGCAAAACAAAGTGCTGCGCGGTGCAGCGGTGTTTCGCAGTACCGATAACTCTTACGGACAAGTGACAGGACGATTTCTGGACATGGAAACGGCAATCAGTGGAGCTTCCTGCTCGGTTGTCCGGCCTGGTCCGCCCTCACGCCCGGCGAGTCATCGAGCTTCAGTGAAGGCAAGGAACCCACGCAGATGCCGGTAATGTGCGTGTGACTCCCATTTGATTCCTCTTTTGAAAAGGGAGATTCATTCCGAAAGCCGAGAAGAATAAAGGAAAGATGCGCTCGTACCGTATGCCGCGTTGGATAGCTGACAAATGTTCGAGGCAACGCTCGGACTCTACGGCCTGTCCACTCTACGAATCGCATCCGGTGGAGGTGTTGATCGCGTTCCTCATCGTATTTTTCCTTCTATTCGCATTGAGGTGTCCGACGTGGCGGACCGGCGACTACATCGTGATGTCCGAACGGGACGTAGACGCGAACGCTAACGAGTGCCCGTGGATGCCACGCGCGGAGCATCAGGACTTTTGGATCGGTATCGAAAGACCGAGGTGTCCTTCCCTGTCGGCATCCATGCCACGAAGTCATCCTGTCGACAAAGAGGTGAACGAAACTCTCCTGAACGATCTCTCCAGGAGGCTGCAACCAGGGGGTCGGTGGGCGCCGTCTTGGTGCAACTCGGCCCACTTCGTCGCCATTGTGGTGCCGTACCGGAACCGCCAGAAGCACCTGTCCCTATTCCTCCAGCATATACACCCGTATCTGCAGCAGCAGAACGTGCAGTACACCGTCTTCATCGTTGAACAGAGTGGTGAAGGCGCCTTCAACCGGGCTAAGCTGTTCAACGTCGGGTTCGTGGAAGCGATGAAGCGGGACAACTACTGCTGCTTCTTTTTCCATGATGTGGACCTCCTTCCGGAAGATCCGCGTAACCTGTACCGATGTGAGCGGCATCCCAGGCACGTCAGTTCGGCCATCGACACCTTCCGCTACGTCCTGCCTTACCCCGAACTCTTTGGCGGTGTCGTTTCTATGAGGGCCGAGCACTTTACCAAGATCAACGGCTTCTCGAACAAGTTCTTCGGTTGGGGTGGAGAAGACGACGATATGCAGAGACGCATCAAGCATGCCGGGCTCTCCGTAGTGCGCTGGCCGTCGTCGATATCGCGATACACAATGCTAGAGCATGAGAAGGAAGTGCCTAACCCCGACCGTCATACGCTGCTAGACAACGGTGAGAACAGGTTTGAGTTGGATGGACTGAACAGCCTGCAATATCGAGTCATCCAGCTAGAAGAGAGACCGTTATACACACGTATTCTGGTTGACATTCATGCACCATCCTGATTTGGTATTGTGTGTAGCATACTGAGATCTTCTCTTTACGACAGGCTATCTCAACCCCTTGAAAGATCTATCAAAGGGTTTGACAGATGACTGCCTCATAGTCCATCCATAGGTTGGTGTGCCTGCTGCCCCGGTGAAGTTTTTTGCCGCAGTCACTGGGTTTAGTGCGTGCTTGTGGAACTATTTTAATTTAGCTACTGGTAGAGGAGGAAGTGGGCATCGATCAATATTATTTTGTCAGGAATCTTAGTTGTGAGTGATGGGGTTTCCAATCATCAGATTGGTCATTTTTGAGAGGTAACAAGTCAAAAGTTTTTGTAGGGTCAGGTTTTGAAAGTCATACACTCGTGATAGTTATTTAACTTTTGAGAAGCATCCTAGCTAGTCCAACACAGGGCATACATTGCACCAGAGTTGTGCAGGGGAGTCCACCACAGTGCTGCAGGCACAATAATGTAGAGCGTTAGGATGGAAACGATTAATAATGTGCACTCTCGTGATATCCATTGGTGCGACGGCCAACAGCTCAGCTTGACACCGTCGCAAAAGCTTGCATCTGTGGGGCTGTCTATTTAGGCAATACTTCTGATTTGGAGGATCGCTTGAACTCTTGGTAACATTGGAAATGCCAGGGTCTGGATCAGAAATCAGGGCTGTTTACAGAAACAAACTTCCAGCGTATGCCGTAAAATAAGGTATGTGTGTGGGCCCGGTCACCTAGGGGGCGCCTTGATGTTTATCTACGTCGTGAAGAGATACGAGTCTCTGTTTTTTATTTCTTTGTTTTTATTTTGCGATGCTGCCTTCCTCGGCTTGTTTCCGATGTGGACCTACATGCTGTATGCTCGGCGTACAAGGATTTCTAGTGGTTAACAGTTTGATCGTGCAAGCTAGCAGCCTTTTTAGTAGTATTATTACCGGGAATAGTGCAAACTTTTGAACTTGCCTATAGATATTGAATCTGTTCGTAGACAGGAGCGTGCTTAACGTCTGTTCTACGAAGCAGTGGAGACATCTGATGATGGGATTTTATCGGTTGATTTTTAGTGTACTCTTGGATGTACCTTTTGTGCTCAAGCAGAATACTGTCACGATACAGAATGATCTCAAGCATTAGTCCTGTGTCAGTACAAAGCTATTAGGTAGGCTGCCGCACATATATACACACCGTTGGTGCCATGTGGTAGGATGTGGTGGCAGATGCATGCTTGTAATGCTTGATATGGAAGAGACAAGAAATTTATGAGTCGGGAGGAGACGGGTTTGCATTACGAAAAGCAAATGATACAGACTTTGATATTATGTTCTGAAGTTTGAGAGCTTGAAATTAAAATGAAGTGAAACTTGTGCGAATGACTTCACCACCAGCTCATTCGAGTAGCCTAGAGCTTATTGCTATTGGATGCTTCTGCCCAGATGAACTGAGCCAATGGTTTGTTATTATATCTCTGTCCATTGTTTTACAGGGAAGACATCTTTTTCAGAGGTAAACCTTTGTTAGTAGCGTGGAGCCAAAATGTCAGCACATTGTGTTAGGCCCTCTGCCATTAGCTCTCACCAGTGATTTTAGGTGCAGCTAAAGTGTTGCCACTCCTTCACTATTACGGAAGATGCACATAATGACTGCAGAATATTAAAGGCTGTGGCCCCGCCAATTACATAGATTACATTTGCATTACATTTATGGTAAAACATTCATGTCGGAGCAGTGGTACCCGTAAAGTTCCGAGAGAACGCCCGCCCCCGAGAGATCGCCCATCCCAGTTTTCTGGCTACATATCTGGCATTCAAATTCCGAAACATCGGCCACCCCCCGATTCCCGTCGGACGTCACACGATATCCGACGGGAATCGCATCCGCCTCGAGATCTGCTGTACCGGTGCGTCTGATAATCGAGTTCATAGCGAGTTCTCGCGTTTTGTCCGAGGTATGCGCGCGCGACATCAATTCCCGTTACAGGCGAATTTGTAGCGGGTTCCCGCGTGTTTATTGCACCATAAAACTTGCATCTGCTGCATCCAAGATTTGCGGTATTCGCTTCCGTGAGATGTAAGTTCTCGGCGGGTTTCCGCGGGTCCTTAGCACGATAAAACGCGAATCTGCTGCGCCCGCAACCTGCGGTATTCTTTCCCGTGATATAGGAGTTCAAAGCGAACTCCCGTCTGTTTATCGCGTCGTGAAACACGAATTTGCGGTGTCCGCGATCTGGATTATCAGTTCCCGCCTCATATGGTTTGTAGCGGATGCCCGGTGTTTATCATTATTCTTGATAAAGTTTTGCTGTGGCTTTCCCAAAGATAGCCCTCCACCCCATGTTTTTCACCCTTTATCTCTTAATTTTGGGTGGGCGTTCTTTCGGAACTTTACGAGTAGTATCACGTATGTGGAAGTGCTCATAGGGGATGTACCCTGACTTGTGTGGTGCGCTAGATCTCACACCTTGTAGACTTGAGTAATGACAGGCAACTAATATGATTGTTCGCATACCGAGTCAGTGAGTTCATGACTCTTTATTTTAGAAAACAAATAACCAGGGCTGAATCTATTGCCTTGTTTAAAAGTTTTCCACATTTTTTTTAATGGTTGCTGTGATTATGTGCTGTAGTTTTAAAAATTCCAGAGGAATAAAATTACAAATATATTCAGAGTTAATAATTGGGTTGTGTTTGTGTTTATACAGCCTAGAACTTGGTCTGCCTCACAGGGGCGACGAGTCTCCCAGCTGTAGATGAGAAATTTAGCCAGTGCGGTACAGCCGCTAGCCTGGGGTCTTTAACGTGCACCACGCAGTAGTGATACACGACCGCACGCCGGTACGATGCTCATCCAGATCGAAACGGGCAGGGGTGGGGCTCGAACCCAGGATCCCTGGGTTCTGCAGCGCGAGCTTTCGCTCCACGTGCTCCGAGCTGGTGTGCGCTAGACCACTCAACCACCAATCCTTTTTTTTTTTTTTTTTTTTTTTTTTTTTTATTTATTACATGGTATTTGGTCAGAAAACACAAGGCACTTGAAATCACGGTACACCAAGGTTTGCGTTAGGTGTCATGTACAGGCGTCGACATACATTTCGTTCATCTAAAGTCACACCATCGTGGGGGTTTAGTTCCCCTCATAGGTTCGAATGCGGTTTCACAACTCAACAAAGTATTCTGTATTGAATAATACGTCTAAAAATCCGGAAGATGAATGCATCGATTTAAGAGAGCATACCAGTCTGGGCGTTCACCGAGATGGTCAAATACATTTCGTACATGTGATACAGTTTCTATAAAATTCGACTTTGTTGTCCGGGGAGCATCAGCATTTCTGTCAATCATTCTCGTTTTCCAGAGACTATGCAAACCCATCAGTGTAAACAGATCATAAGGGAAGCTGTCATTCGGGTTTAAAGGTAGAAAACGGATTGTGTAGGCACTTATATTTAAATCTTTTTTCACAGTTCTTTGTAACACATCCCAGAAGAGGTAAGCATCAGTGCAGAAAATAAAACAATGTTCTATAGTTTCCGGTTGGTTACAAAGGCGGCAGTTCACTGACCACGGAACGAAAATGCCTTTTTCTTGAAGCCAAGGCTTAACAGGTAGCGTGGAAGTGTGAAGTTTAAAGAAAAAGGTTTTTGCAGAAGGTGACACTCGCATTTTCTTCACACGTTTAAAAACATCTTGTTCCGAACCGTTACCAAATACGCTTCGATACAAAGGTACAGGAAAAACAACGTCTATCAGATCAGCATAAATTGTTTTTCGGGGAACTTTAAATAAATACTCCAGAGAAAACCGGGTTTTCAAAAATTCAATCGCGCTAACTACCTCTCCAAGGAAACCGAAAGGACGCAATGTGCCTACAGGCACAGATGAGACTACCAAGTATGGTAAAGCTTCTGAAAGTTCTGTCTGCACGTAAGTGCGCAGAAAATGATGGGATACAGTTCGGAAGAACATAAAACGAACAACCACCTGTTTTAAAAATAGGTGAATCAGCCCAAGTCCCCCTGTATCAATGGAGCGAAAAAGGTTGTCTCGTTGCATGGGTTCCCAAGTGGAATCCCAGACAAAAGTCGCAAAAACTCTATGGAATTTTTTAATTTGGCCTCTCGCACAGCAAATCACCTGGATCACGTACCAGAGTTTCGCTACAAGGAAAATGTTACATGCTTTTGCGCGTCCAAAGATTGACCACCGATTTGATTTCATTATATTGGCTTGACGTTTGATCTTTGCCGCACGCTCAGACCAGTAATGGCCACTGTTTCGAATGCAGTTCAACGGTACTCCTAAATACTGAGGAGCTACACAGCTCCACGAAATACCAGCATACTTCAAAGGTGTTGTGGCCCACTGGCCGCACCAGAAGCCAACGCATTTTGAGTTATTTACCAACGCTGCCGATGCTTCACAAAATGTCTGGGTTAAGGTAAAGACATTATCGACACTTTTCTTATCAGCACAGAAAAACGCTATATCGTCAGCGTAGGCTAACACTTTTACTTCCGCGGAATAAAAATGATAACCGTCCACTGTAGGGTTGGAAAGTACGCTCAAGCAAAGAGGTTCCAAGTAAAGAGCAAACAAAAGAGGGGATAAGGGACACCCTTGTTTAACAGACGATTCTAAATTTATAGGAGTCGAGAGTGAACCATTAACAATGAGACGGGTAGCACAGCTTCGGTAGCATAGTTCGATTCCTTTCAACAACGTTGGTCCCGGGTTTATGTGTCTAAGAATGGCGAAAAGGAAGTTATGAGATACGCGGTCGAAGGCTTTCGCCAAGTCTACTTGGACTATGGCGACCTGGTTGTTATGCCGAGTACAGCTCTCTATGACCGAACGTGCGACGTGTATATTGGTCTGTATGCTTCGCCCCTTAATTCCACATGTCTGATGGTCGCCAACAACACTAGAAGCGACGAACTGAAGCCGTTTTGTCAGAATCTTAGCGAATATCTTATAGTCCACATTGCAGAGAGTAATAGGGCGATATCCTTCTACGTGTATAAGTTTATCTGCATCCTTACTTTTGGGGATTAATACTGTATGGCTGCTATAAAAAGATGGTGGTAAGCGTTCACTATCGTAAGCTTCAAGAAATACTTTGTGTAAGAAAGGGCACAGTAGTTCCTTATGCTCCTTGTAAAACTCAGCTGGGAGTCCATCCGGTCCTGGCGTTTTAGAGTTAGGCAACTCATCTATCGCACTCCGAATGTCCTCCAGCGTTACTGGTCCACTAAGTAGTTCGCGTTGAATCTCACTTACTTTAGGCAACATGGAAACTAAAGTGTCTGTCATTTGACTGTTGGAAGATGGCGTTTTCTGGAATAGGTTTTTGTAGTGGGATTCGAATGTGCGCATTATATCAACATCGTTGGTTGAGAGGGTTCCGTTGCAGTCCAAAAGTTTGATTTTTTTGGAAAGCCCATGGCGTCTTTCATCATCAATGGCACGCCGCGAGGGTGTCTCAGATGACAAGAAACGCTTACACCTAGAACGTACCAGTGCACCATTATAGCGATTTTGCTCATAGCGCTGCAGCTGACTTTTGATAAGAATGATTTCTTCCTGAAACTCACCAGATTTTTCACATTCCAATTCGTGAAGGCTATTTAGGTTTCGCAAAAGGGCAGTTTTGTCTTTCTTCGCGTGAAAAGACGCAATACAAGCAAATTCAATCGCTTCATTTTTGACCTCTTGTTTAAATGAGTCCCATTGGGCGAAAATGCCGAATTTTTCATTCGTTGACATATTGTTAAAACATTCACGAACACGTTTTTGAAAATCATCACTGCCAAGAAGCCTTGTGTTCAATTTCCATAATTCCCATTTTGGACGTGACTTATTACGTACGTCTGCCCCAATACGAACCTTTACAAGGCAATGATCAGAAAAGGACATGGGTTTTACTTCATAAGTAGCCACATGCGAAAAAAGTTGGCTTGAAACGTAAACTCGGTCAAGCCTCGCGTTACATGAAGCATCAATGTGAGTGAATCGACTAGCAGTAACCTGAGAAGCACCAACATCAAATAGGTGGAAGTCGTATGTGAGGTTGTTTAGTATGTCAGCACTGCTGTCAGGTCTTGTGGGAGGCACTGATCTATCACTGATATTACAGACACAATTGAAATCACCAAACAGAACAACTTGCCTGTCGGTGTCAAGAAAAGGGGAGAGATTTTCAAAAAACAAACGTCTTTGTCGAACATCATTGTAGGCATAAATGCAAATTAAACGCCAGGAGATACCATTTAAGAAAAAATCACAGCATATGAACCTGCCCTTATCATCCACAGCATGTGAAAATGACGAGTATTCTAGTCTCTTCTTTAAGAATAAAAGGCACCCTCCCG